GGCCACCCGGCGAAAAGTTGCAGGGGAACTGGGTTTCCCCGGACAGCGACTCGGCCGGGCGGGCGAGACGGGGGCGGGGCCTCCCGCCAGGCTCCGCCCCCCCCGGGAAGGCGGCCCCGCCCCCTTCGCCCCGGAGGGAGCTGGGGACCCCCGACTCTCAGCGAGCGCCCCCCGGGGTCTGGTCTTAGTGCACCGAGACCCCCGGCGGCGGCGCGTCCTGGTTCGGGGCGGGCCAGGTCCTCTAACCCGGGGCGCTGCGCACCTCCCTGTTCCTACACGGGCCTCTGGGCAGGTGCACGCTCCAGGTCCAAGTTCACAGCTGGTGCAGACCAGCCACCCGCCCACCGCGGCTTCCAGTCTCCACTTCCTTCGTCTGGTCTCCTCCCAGACTGAGCCCAGGGCTGTGGGCTGCGGAGGGGCGGCCAGGACCCAGTGAGGCCCAGAGGACACTGCCGCTGCCCGAGGCTGCAAGTGGGCGTGGGATGGGGGCACTGCCGTGGTCGGGGGTGGACCGCAATAACGCACACAGGCGCCCCATGGGGTGGGGGGCTGCAGACCCCGGACTCAGAGGACTCAGGCCGGTGCCCGAACCTGGCCTGCTGGGGCTGCCCACAGCGCCCTGGCTGGACACACCAGGGAGGGAGCGGAGGCCGCTGGGAGGTGGGGCCGGGACGCCAAGAGAAGCTAGCCACCGAAAGTTCCTCTGCCGGCGGGCGTGGCTCGGGAGGGTTACACGGGGTCGGCCCCCGGAGAGGGGCTTGGGGGTCTCTAAGCCACGGCTCCACGTGCGGCGATGGGGTAGGTGATGTAGTCCTTTGCCAGCCCCTCCCCAGAAGATCTGGAGTATCCGGTGACTTGCTGAGAACTCGAGGGTGGGGCTGTGTGCGTGTGCCAGGGGGTGCTTGAATTTGTCCCCTGCCAGCAGGGACAGTCACCCTGCAGAGGGTTAGGGTCCTAACAGGTCCGCACCTGTGTCCCACCCACACTCCAGTACCCAGAAGTGTGTGGGGGGCGGGTCTGCCAGGGGAGCCTGCTGGTCTTGGTGGGTTCCCCCATTCCCCAATGAGCTGGTGCAATGCCCAAGACCCTCGGCCCCCTCTTGTCCCCAGGGAACTGTGGGCACACAGCACACTGGAGGGCCCTGGGTGGCCAGTCGCACGCTGCTGTCTTCCGTTGCGTCATCCAGCGTTTCCGGGTGTGCCAGTCGCAACATTAATTCCTCGCAACAGCCTTGGGGGACCCGGGCTGTCACCATCCCATTTTGCAGATGAGGAAAGTTGAGGCTGCGTTGGAGAGGCGACTTGCGCAGGGACTTTTTGGCCTTTGTATATATGTATGTTTTTTGGGGGGTGGAGGACAGGCCCGAGGGGCGGCGTGGAGCAGTGGAAGAACCCGCTCGGCTCCACGCTGTCCCTGTCTGCTCTGCCCGGGCTGGACACCGGGGTGGCGGGGGTGGGTAGGAGCGCTGGGGCGCAGGGCCAGACCAGCCCCGCCTCGCGGGCTCGGCGCAGCCAATGGGCGCCCCTCCCGGAGTGGGGTGACGCGACGTCAGCGCGGCTCCCGGGAGCCGGGCCCGGGTCACAGGCGCGGCGCCTGCTCCCCCGGGCGGGGCCGGGCGGGACCCGTCGGGCCGCTCTCGGGGCGCGCACCTGGCTGGGAGCGCGGCCAGGTGCGCGTCGCTGGCGCGGCCGCGAGCCGGGAAGGGGGTGCTGCCCGCCGGGAAGGGTCCAGCTGTCCTGCCTCGCCAAGGGAGGGATGCTGTCGCCTGCGCCCCTCCTCCCCGCCGGCTTGGTGTGGGTGGAGGGGCAGGACTGGCGCACTCCCGGAGTGCCCAGCCACCCTGCCTTACCCGCCCCACTTGGCCGTCCTGGCTGCAGGCACGAAGCTGGGAACAGCCTTGGGGTGTGACCCAGTGGCCTGGCTGAGCCTGGAGCCAGGCGGAGGAAATGGGGATGGGGCTCAGAGGACGGGGGAGCTGCGGAGACCACCCAGCCTAGGGTGACCCCCACCTTGAGTCGTGGGAGCAGTCAGAGCCCCTCCGAGGAGTTTTTCATGGCGGGTTCTGCCCACTGTCCCCACCCCCGCCCCGTCCCCAGCAGGTGGATTGGCTGAAAAAGACTCCGCCTTCCTCAGATGTTCAGGGAGTGCCTGGCCCACGCGGGCAGCAGGTCACACCTCTCCCACCTCCCATAGGCCATTGGCAGGAGGCTGGCCCTGTGCCTCCTTCCAGGCTGCTGTGGTGGGGACCCATAGCCTACCCCAGCTTGTCTTCCTTCTCCATTTGCTCACAGCCTGTGGCTTTTTTCAGGGTGGGACTTTTTTTCCCCCCCACTTGCAAACTGTTAGGAAAAAGGAAGGCTCCTGGCCCTGTGCCCACCTGCAGTCAGTGGCATGGCCTCCTGGGAGCAACCCATGCAGGTGGACACCTCCCCACGCTGCCACCGTGTCTCTGTATCCCTGCCCACCCCCTGCAGGCCCAGGCTGGCACCCAGCAGGCTGCTGGGAAGATGCTGAAAGCAGACACAGGGGGACTAGATGTTGCTGCAGAGCCTGTGGTCAGCTTCTCTCTAGGCCCAGGCCTAGGGACTGCCTGGTAGAGAGCTGGCAGCACAGAGACGCCTGTTCCAAGGGCCTGGGGCCACCGCTTCTGGCATTTGACGGTGGTGGTCCCTGTGGGTGGGCACAGCTGGCCCTGAGCCCACCTGAAGGAGCGTGCTGTGCTGCCACACACCCAGACCCTGGCTATGGGAGACTGAGGTCTGGGTGACAGCTCTGCTACTGCCTATGCTGGCCCGAGGCAAGCGGGCAGCTCCTACTTGCCCTCTGTGAGAGGCAGGCAGAGCTCCATAGGTCAGCCCGTACGTAGTAGCCTGGTGGCTTAAGCTGTCACCTGCACCACCAGCATCTCACAGGGGCATCAGTTCAAGTCCCGGCTGCTCCCCTTCCAGTCCAGCTCCCTGCTTGTGGCCTGGGAAAGCAGTGGAGGATGCCGGAGGCCCTTGAGACCTGGAAGAAGCTCCTGGCTTCAGATCAGCCCAGCTCTGGACACTCTGGCCGTGTAGGGAGTGAACCAGTGGATGGAACATCTTTTTGTCTCTCCTTCTTTCTATAACTCTGCCTTTCAACTAAAAATGAATAAATCATTTAAAATAATAATAAAAGCAGGGTTGGCTGGTGAATAAGCAGTTAGCCCCAGATGTTGGGGCACAGCTGTGGCATCTGCATCCCACATCTGGATCCTAGCATCCAGTCCCACCTTCCCTTGCAGGCTTGGTTCCTGCTAAGGCACAGCCTGGCAGGTAGCAGACATCTGCCAGGTTCCAGGCACGCCTAGAGGAGACCCCAGCGGAGCTCCTGGCTGCATTTGGGGACCAGACCCAGCAGATGGGAAAATCTCACACACTGCAGTCTAAACATGTGTGCCCACAGCTCCCTGTCAGAGTGCCCGCACCGGGTCTTCTGCCCCAACACGTACCAGTGCAGATCCTGGGAGGGGAGGGCCCCCATGGAGGAGGCCTGGATTGAGGCCACAGCTCCCTGCTCCAGCCCTGGCTGTGTGGGCCGGTGAGGATGTGCTTCCAGTCTCCACTCAAACAGATGCATGTACGTATCTGGGAGGGCAGATGGGAAGATGGGAGAAGAGTCTCCTTTAGGGCGGAATGAGGACGTTGACGATTGACCGGTGGTGATGGGTACGCAGCCCTGTGAGTGGTAAGAACCTGCCAAGCTGTGCCCACCCTGTTTGATGATGGATTGTATCTCAGTTAGTCGTCATATGAAAGGTGGGGAGAGGTCTTAGGTTCAGTGCCAACGCAGGCTCTGGCATCTGCCCAGCCAGGTGACAGAGGCCTGGGGGAGGGGTGCCTCAGGCTGCTTGCTCAAGGCTTGAACGCTCCAGGCAACGGGGTGTAGTGGGGCGCTGAGGAAGAAGGGGGTGTCAGAGTTGGGGCTGGGCATTCCCAGGCAGGAATGCTGTGGGTGATGCCTGCCTGAAGGCTGCCCAGGCTAGCGGGGCGGAAGGATGGGGTGACATTCCTGGCTGCTCCCTCCCTAGAACCGCACCCCACCCCAGCACTGCAGACTGGAAAGAGCTGGCACGGGAAGGCTTCGCTCAGTTATTTATTGTGGAGTATCTTACATGCAAGGACTCAAACAAGAGAGAGAGAAGTGGCCTGTGATGCAGCCAGTGGGGAGGAGGGAGGGTACCCTTCAGGGCCACCTTGGCCGGCCCACAGCAACAAGCGACAGGGACGACACGCCACACTGCGGCACGAGTGAACACGGCCGAGCTCGACATGTGCCTCTGGTTCGGAGCCCCACCCTCCACCCCAAACAGGGTGCTAGCTTCAGGAAGCCAGGATCCGCCCCACCCCTCCCTCTCGAGGACAGGGCATGGAGTCTGGGGGCCCCCAGGGACTGACAGCTGCAGGGAAGGGCCAGAGATGACAGCAACTGGGGAGTATGCCAGAGCAGCTGCCAGCCTGCAGGGGTGTGTGTGTGTGGGAGTGGGGGGGAACAGCAAATGAATCCCCAACAGCACACCCCACCAAGGACCCGGGCAGTGCAGGGGGCTCTCCCATGATGCTCTTCCCAAGGGGCCCGGCCTTAACACACGCTGTGGGAGAGGAGAGGAGGAGGAGGGTGGGGGGCAGGGGTGGGTGCCCTGGCTCCAGGACCACAGGCTGGGCTGGGTCAGGGGAGGCAGTGAGCAAGGCACAATCACACACACACACACACACCAAAGGCAACAGAAAAGACAGCACAGATGGCCAGCTGCCCTTCCGGGCCAGGCCCCTGCGGGGCACTTCTGGCTCTGCGGGTCGTACTCCTGCAGGTGCTGAGTGGGCAGAGAGCTGGGCTGAAACGGTCGCAGCCACACACGGGGGGCAAGTCGCAGCTGCCCACAGGCCACGGAGGGAGACATCTGAACATCCCAGCAAACAAGGAACATGGAAAAGGTTAAAAGCATCCCCCAAGAAAATATTTTGACAAAATAAATATTTTAACCTATAATCAGGTATAATTAGTGCTTATGAGGAATCCCGGCAATAATTTAGAGTAATTAAACATGTAGTGTATCTGTGATCTGCTTAGCACTGCGGAGGGCCCGGCGGCTTGTGAGGGTCCAGCTGTCCTGCCTCGCCAAGGGAGGGATGCTGTGCGCCCCACCCTGGTCTCCCCCGTCAGAAGCGGGGGGCATTGTGTTTGCTTCTCTCAGGCTCTCAAGCACAGGCAGGGCAGGTGAGGGCCACCAGGTCCCGGCAGCCAGGCTGTACCCATGACCGCCGGGGGCAGCTCTTGACACGCGAACTGGGATCAAGACTGGCTTTGCTGGGTAGCCCGAGGCTTCCGGCACCCCAAGTCCTCTCTTCTTCCCCACTCCTGTCCCTTCTGCTCTTTCCCGTTCACCCCTGTGGAAACAAGCTAGGAGGTGGGCTCTGGCTGGCTAGCTGATAGAAGTGGCCCTGGTCCTTAGGCCATCAATCCCTTGAGACAGTGCCCAGTGACTGGGGCCACTGCGGCCACCTGCACCCTCCTGGCCCCCAGCTGCCATCACAGGTCTGGGCAGAGGGGTGTGGCAGGGTAGGGGTGTGGCACTACCAGAGAGAGTGAGGCTGGGCCATGTTGGCCATGCGAGGAACAGCATCCTCCCCCACCCTGGCAGTGGGAAGGAGTGACTGGCAGCACGGGCTGGGAGCCTGAGGTTGACGTGACCGGGTCGAGGTGCCAGCAGGGCAGGGAGTCTGACTCGGCATGCTGCATGGGCACAGGTGACGTGGCTGCGCGGTCAGGTGGGACTGCAGTTTTGCTCTTCTGGACCGTGGCGGAGTGGGAGAGGGTAAGGACCTCCAAGTGTGGCTGGGGTGCATTGTCTAGTCTGTTGCCGGTCTCTGGAGCCACAGGTGCCCCCTGCAGGCTCCGTGCCCTCCCCCTGCAGACGGCTGCAGTCAGGTGCTGCGTGGCCACCACTGCCGGTTCTGGAGCAGAGTGAAATGTGGGAACGAGGGGGGGAGCCCTTCCCCCAGGACCTTCTAAAGTGCTGAGCTTGCCAAGCGCCCCAAGGGGACAGGCAAGCCAAAGACGGGGAGGCAGATGGCGCCTGTCTGGGCGGCTGGTCCCTGCCCTCCCAGATATGGAAGAAAGAGGGGAGAGGGATGCCACAGGGAGGGAGACCATCCCTCCTAGGTGGACATGGGCCAAGGGGGCCAGGGGAAGAGGGAGAGAGCCAGACCTCTAGTTCTGGGGCTGCGGTCCCCTCCATCACCCCCTCCCCCCCACACACACCCAGAGAAAGAAGATACCAAAAGCTGTTCCTGACCAGGGGAGGCCTGGGTGCAAACACAGTGGTGTTCCCATGGAGACGCAGGTGTGCAGGTGGGCGTGGCCACTGCCTGGGTCTCCCAGGGGCATGGGCGGGGGAGGGGGAGGCACACTGCACCCCGGCTCACAGGGCGAAGAGGGCGTCCTCTGAGCGCTCCGGCTTCTTCCGGCCAGAGGGGTGGCCAGCTGCTGGGGCGGGGGCCTCCGACGGGGGTGAGGGCAGGTCGGGAACCATCTCTGCGGCCTTGGCTCGCTCTTCAAGGAATTTATCGAACTCTGCAACGGCAACCGGGGCAGCAGTGGGGGACCCCCTTCCTGCCCTTTCCAGGGCCGGCCTGGTGATAGGCGTTTCTGGGTCCTCGCTGCCTGGGACCAGCCTCGGGGCCACCTCTGCATGCCACCTGCAGGGCAGCAGGAAGCCCCAGGGGCTGGGGGGACTGCACACTAGTGCCTGGCTCTATGGCCTGTCCCCGTAAAGGGGGAATGAGAAAAATGACAATGGTCCAGCACCAGCCCAGGGTCTGGCATCCTAGCCCTGGGCAGGGGGTACTCCGTGGGACTGTGGCCACACCCTAGGTAGCCTGTCCTCAGGTCTGGTGGGGGAGCCTGGTCCTACCTTCGCTCGTGACGCCCTCCTCCAGGTCATCGCCCTTCTGTGGGAGAAGCAGAAGAGTGGAAGGGACAGCGTCAGGGCTGGTTCCAGCTGCCCCTCCTGGGGGCCCACCCATGGGTGTCTGAGTTACCCAGCCCACAGCAGCCTGACAAAACTCCCCATAGTTCTGTCCTAGATTTTTACTTTCGAAAATAGTGAAATCTATTCTTCTTAGGGAATTTTTGTTTTAAAAAGTTGAAACAAAAAAGAAAAAAAAAAAACAAACCCTGAAACAATAACTAAGAAAAAAAGAGACACTTAAACAGGTACTAGTTTTCAGAACACTGAAAGGACAAGAAAGGTAGAAAAAAAAAATCCAGAAAGCCAGTGGGGCTGGTGCTGTGGCCTGGGACATGGAGGGCTTGAGGCCCCACCCTGCCCTGGCCTCACTCTGTGCTCCGGGGAGAAGCCGAGGAGCACCCCGACACCCAACCCCCCGCTGCCCGCAGCCCCTGCGGGACTCCAGGGCAACCCTGGGAACTTGCAGCAGGCGTCAGGGCGCAGGCCCCGCTTCCTCCCTGCCCTGTCCTATCATCGCGCTGGAGCCACGGGGAGACTCCGCCTATTCTTTAAAAAAAAGAAAGAAATCAGAGTCTCAAACTTGATTTTGTTTTGGAGAAGGCTGGCTGGAGCCCGCAGTCTGCAGGTCCAGGAGGGGACCCAACGGGCACCTGGCTTTCTCCCTGTGTCTTCCAGGGAGGGAGACAGGGACCGGTGCCCCATCCCCTCCGCGGACCCTGCCCTGTGTCTGGGGTTCTCAGCAAGACAAAAGTATCCGCGCCGCCACCGGGAGGAGGAGGGGCAGGGGCAGCGAGAACAAGCAGACACCCAGCACGTCTCTCACCACTGGGGGGGAAAAAAAAAATGAAATGACAAGCAAAACAAAACAGAAAAAAATGCAAAACATGCACACTCAAAACAGTCCCTCCTCTGCCCCCAAAGAAACCACAGCCCTCCCTACCCAAGCACACACAGGGACACACGACTGCTGAGGGGCGTGTTGGGTGGTGTCTGGTGGGGACCGCTTGGCGGGGGACCCCCGTGTGTGCGCGCCGGGCCAGGTGCGCGCCGTGGTGGGCTGGCGGCTGCCGAGGCCCTGCCTGCCCCCCACGGGCCTCCCCTCTCCGCACTCCCCTCCGAGGTCCCCTGCTGGTTGTCCCCCACCGAGGAGTCTGGTCCCGCCCAGGAAAGAGAAAAGTCGCATCTCACCAGGTCGGTCCTGAGCCACACCTCAATGTCGTCCATGACAGAGGGCTGCGCCACGGGGATCTATGGGGGCGGCAAGCAGCGGGGTGGGGAGTGGGCCGGCAGCCCCACACAGCCAGGCGAGAGGAAGACAGAACACCGGAACAAAGAAAATCGTCAAAAGCAACCCCCAAAATCAAACCAAAATGTAACACACGGCCAAACACGCAGCTGGCGCGGGCACACGGAATGGCAGGGGAGGAAGCGGGGGGGGGGGGGGCAGGCGGCCGCGGGGGTGCGGTTATGGGGAAGGGGAGGCGAGGGGGAGGCGGCGGCGGCGGCAGGATGTGTTCTTGACATGGACAACTTTTTGACTACGTCTGGCCCTCGTGTCGGCACGGGGTCTCCGGGTGAGGGATGCAGAGTGCCCCTTCTGGTCGGGGGTGGGGGCACCAGAACAGTGAAGGGCACCAGTGCCTGCGGCAGGGAGCCCAGCACCCTGCTGCTGGTGTCACGCGGTGGGGGGAGCAGGGCCGGGTAGGTGGAGCCCAGGCACAGGTGCCTCTGCAGGCCGGGGCACCAGCGAGCTGGCTGGTTGGGCACCCTGGGCACAGCAGGGAGCCTGGGGGAGGTATCAGCGGGCACACAGCTACAAGGAAGGTCTTTCATCTCCCCTGCCTGTGCCTCCTTAGGGGACGCAGAGAGCGTCCCTTCCTTCCCAGTGGGACTTTAGTGTCACCCCACCCCACTCCACAGACCGCCAAATCAAAGTCAGCTGAGGAGGAGTGGCAGTCGGGTCCACCGGGCCCCAGGGAGGCCGGCGAGCTGAGGTGGGGGCTTCCTGGGTGCTGTCCCCCCAATGCCTAAGCCATCTGTGCCAATGGCCTCCGTGTGGACGAGCTGATCAAACACTAAACTAAGCAGAGTCCCATGAGTGAAGGCAGCAGTGGCTTCCCGCCTGGGGAATGAGCTGGCAGCCCCTGACTTGGCAGTGTCACCTGCCACCTTGCCTACCCCTGGGTCCGAGGGGCCCTGTCACTCCTAGAAAAAGGGGGAAAAAAAATTGGCTCTGGGTTAGGCTGTGTCGGAGCCTGGTTTTACCCCCGTATCGAGATCTAGAGGAAGAATATGAAAGCCCGGGGACAGGATTGCATCAGCTGTTCTCAACTTCAAAAACAACCACAATGACCGACAGAGAATTCCCACCTGACCCCTGCTGCCCACGGCGGGTTTGGGGGTGGAGCAGGGAGTTGGTCGCCTTCCTGTCCCGCAACCCTGTGACTCACTGGGGAGACTGAAGAGGCTGTGGGGGCGTGCCTGTCGCCCTGACATGCAGCAAGGCTCTGGGAACACGGGTGTCCCCCTCCGAGAAAGTCAGCCACCTCTCCAAGGAGCAAACGAGGCCTGTGCTGGCGGCACGCGAGCGCGCGCGCGCACGCACACACACACACACCCCTTCTGCCACCTGCCTGGCTTTGTTCAGTGCTCACGGTGAGGCTGAAGCTTGCATTAAAAGCCAAATAAATCAATAAAGAGCCACGAAGAATCCTTGGCTCCGACCTTCTCGTTTCCCTTTCTGGAGGCAGGAGGGTGGGTGGGAGGGGAAGGTCTGTGAGGGGCTTCCATCCCCCCACCCAGAGCTGGCATGTTCAGAAAATAGAGCCGTCTGAGGGGCCACCCCCCTGCTCACTCACAAAAGCTGTTCCACAGAGCCTGGAGCCCTGAGAATACTTTTCATCCCCTCTCCCCAAATCTTCAGGAAACCCTAGGGATTCAGGTGGAGAGGTGGGAGCAGGCGACAGACTTAGGCAACAGCCGGGTGTTGGTCTCCCCACCCACTGAGATAACATGATTGCAAGGGCTGGCTTGCAACACTCTGCTGGCGTGGAATGGCTGTGCATCCGGCTGAATGACTGGAACTTACTCTCCCTTCGGCAAAGGGGGGGGGTGTGATGAGGAGGCTGGGGCCGTGGATACCCCCCCACCCCTGGACCATCTCATAAAGAGGTGGGCTTTCAGCTGATGGTGGTGAGAGTCTGGGAGGTTTCTAGGAAGGGCGTGGCCGTCACACCACCTAAGGGCACCCCTATGACCCCCTGCTGCGCAAAAGTAACTAGCAGAAACTGGGATGGAGCAAGGGGACCCCATGCTGGGCCACTGGGATGGGGCAAGGCATTGGGACTGCTCCATGGCTTTGGACAATTCAGCCCCCTGCCCAACTCCCAGTGAGACTCCCCCCAGGGTGCAGTGAGGCATGGGGCACTGGAACTGCCCATGGCTTTGGACAATTCAGCCCCTTGCCCAACCCCCAGTGAGACTCCCCCCGGGGTACAGTGAGGCATGGGGCACTGGGACTGCCCATGGCTTTGGACAATTCAGCCCCCTGCCCAGCCCCCAGTGAGACTCCCTGGGGGGCAGTGAGGCATGGGGAGATTGCTTCCTCAGAGGAGGGACCTTAGCACCCTCTCCAGTCTCAAAGGGAGAAGGAGGCAGAGGAGAAAATATAACAGAAGCCAGTAGGGGACTGCCCTCCCAGGGGGAAGAACACCTCTTGAAGTAATCAAAGACTGGTGAGAAGGGTGGGCCCTGGGCTCCAATCTGAGCGGGGAAGGGAAAGCCAGTTACTGACCCTCTGTCTTGAAGAGGAAGGGCCTTGGGGGTCTCTGGGCTGCCCACCCCACCCCCAAGCCGGGCTTCAGCAGTGGGCAAGCTTCTTTAGTGGTGAACCTCAATCCTTGCTTGTGCTTATTCTTGCACCTTGCAGGCCGGAAGCAACAGCCAGGGAGCAGAGAGCAAGAGCCCAAGGCTGCAGGCTTCCCAAGCTGTTCACTGCTGCCCCTAGCCTGGACAGACCTTCTCCCCGACAGCTCCTCCCACTCCCTGCCCCAGGGTACAGGCAACTCCAGTGCCAGAAACTGGTGCCCTGTGTGTGGGGGGGAAATCAGGTAGGGGTTCCCTGGCACACCCCTATCATCAGCGCCATGGCCCGAGCCCACAGGGCCCCAGGGGCTCACATACCCCACATACCCCTGGCACACCCCACCTCGTGGCCCAAGCCCACAGGAAGTATACCTACCTGATTCCCGAAGCAACAGGTGCACTTCCTGTCACTTTAGGGGAAGGGGGAGGGAGGAGGTGTTTCTTTGCGATACACAAACATTTAGAAGCCTTAGGTCTCATCTAACAGCACAAAAAGTTTCCAAGTAAAGAATCTGTCCTTGGCAAGTGGAGAGAGACTCGAGGTTTCTGTACACTACGGGGGGGAAGGCGGAGCGACGAACAGGACAAACAGGATGCTGTCGGGAACTGGGAGAGACGCAGGAGCTGGCGGGGTACTGGGTTAGCTGTTAGTTGGGAAGCTGGAGATGGGGCTTCTACGTGGGGACAGGCAGCAGGTGAGGGCGGGGCAGGCAGCCTGTGTGGGCAGAGACAGGTGCCACTGCCAGCTGCCAAGGCCACACTCGGGGTGGTTGGCTTGGGCAGTCTCCCTCCTTTTGATTTATTTTGTGTAGGATGAGCGGGTACAAGGGCAGCCGTGGGCTGGATTGCACACAAGTGGGCTGCAGCTTCGCAGACCCAGGAGTGGCAGCGAGCCAGCCCGTGTCTCCAAGAAAGGCTCTGGGGTCAGGGCTGGGGCAGGGACAGGCTCCTTCTGCCCACAGCTGCTGTGCACGGCCTCTTGGCCAAGTCTCAGCTGCGGCCCCTCCCACCGCAGGGAGCTGGGTGCTTCTACATGGCCCCAGTTCCTCCTGGCCAGGCAGGTGGACATGCTGGCCCATGTGGACACTCTGCTGTGATGCACTAGGTCCAGGGTCTCCCCCAAACCCGACAGGCAGGAAAGACTTCATATCTGCACCCAGGTCTCTGAGAACCATACTTGGCCTGGCTCCTTTTGGGGAGCCTTGGCTGATACACACAGTGGTATCATGAGAGCCCATCCGAGCCCAGGACCACTGAGTCCCAAGGCGCTGGGCTAGCGGGCTGTCTCTGGCCGAACATCCTAGAAACAAATGAATATGGCCAAGGGCTGCAGAGATGGCAAGAGAGGGGCTTCCGTTATTCCTGCTTTTGCCTCATACTATGAAGACCACAGGGCGTGGACCTCAGCAGGAAACCAGAGAAAAAAAGGGTTTCTGGGACTGGAGGTGGTTATATGAGACAGGAGGCCTGCCAGGCCAGAGCGGGCCTCATCCTGTCTGACCACAAGGCTGGCTGACAGCTGGTGAGGGGAGGGCGGCAGCTGTTAAGGCAGGGGGAGGACCGGGGCTTGCTCCTCACCATTCCTTGGGTCAGAAGCCAGCTGTCTATGGGCTCGGGGGCAAGTTCCCCACTTTCCCCTCTCTGCTGGGCCAAGGACAGAGAAGTCCCAGCAGGAAAAGTCACAGCAAGACCCAGGAGGAAGGAGTCGGGAAACAGAAACAAATTCACAGTTCAGAATCCATGGCTTGTGGAGGCAGGCGAGGTTACCCAACGCCCCCGCCCCCAGACCTGGCCCCCAACCTCAGCCTGTTCTTGCCTGCCTGCCCGCAAGAGGTAAGGAAAGTGTAGTCACCCCAACAATAGGGCACCGCATATAGGGGAACTACTTGATCTCTCCCTTCCTATGGTCTTAGGCCCCCTACTGGGGACGTGGGACGAGGTGTCCCCGCGAGCTGATCCAAGCCAAACGCCCAGGGTGTGAAAGATAAGCAGTCACCCACATCTCCTGCATTTGGCCCGAGGCCTGGGCACTGATAAGTATGGGCTAGTGTGGCAAGGTACCTGCTGGCACGGTGCCAGTAAAGGGGGCAGCAGGGCGAGGTTGGCCTGGTTTAGGGATGGGCCTGTTCCAAGCCAGGCCAGGGTCAACAGGAGGAGGAGACGGCTGTGTCAGGCGGTGTGCTGCCAGGCCCCAGCTCGCCTCTCTAATGCCCTGATGTGTTAGGCCGTATGTGCGTGTGCATGTGCGGGGTGTACACTTTAGCTAACACTGCAGCGGCATAGATTTCGGGTGTCCCAGCTGCCTGGGATGCTGAAAATTCACAATTTCAATGGAGGTGCCAAGGGGAGCATGGCTGGCCTCCCCTGCTATGGCCACGCCCTCTCCTGCAGACCTGGCAAAGCTTTGCAGGTCCGCTTACCACCCGACCTGTACAGCAATCTGGCCTCCCTTGGTACCTGCCCATGCCTGGGGTGGGGGGCGGCAGCTGTAGTGGGGAAGGAGACCTCATCTTTGCTCACAGGAGAGCTTGGGCTCCACTGGCCATCTGCTGACGTGGTGCCCCTCGGCCTGTCTCCCATCTCTTGCAGCTGTGTTTGCCCTGGGGGACCATGGGACTGTCCCCTCCAAGTTGGGGGATGAAGACCCCCCACGGGACACTTGCAAGAGGGGCAAGGGAGATACCCCAGTCAGGGTTTTTTTTTTTTTTAAAGCAAACTATTGCTGACTTCCCCTCCAGAAGGCTCCAGGGAGGGGAGTTGGGACACAAGACGTACCACTTCAGGGTTCTGTTTCTGGCTGTCGAGCATGGAAGTGAGGCCTCTGTTGGCCTGGGTGTCCTCGTAGGTGACCCTGGAATCCAAGCAACAGAGGCAATTAGTCCTTCCTGGTGGTCAGGGGAGGTCCGGGGTGGCAGCCAGTGCTGGCTCCCTGTCTCAGCCCCTTCCTCATTTGGTCACTGGGAAGAAACCTCTGCTGTGACCTGGGCACTGGGCTGAGGCTCAGGCTGGGGCCTGTGCTGGCTTGCTGCAGCCGAGACCAGCATACTGAGGCCTGGCAGAGGCTCAGCCCCTGGCCTCCCCAGGCCTGGGAGGCTGTGGGCCTCTAGTCCTGAGTAGCAACCCTGGACATACGTGGGACTGGCAGTGTGGCATAGCGGCTAAAGGCACCGCATGCAGTGTCGGCAACCCATATGGGCGCTGGCTTGAATCCTGGCTGCTACATTTCCCATCCATCCATCTCCCTGCTAGCAGGGCGGGCGAGTGGCCTAGGCTCCCCAGAGGAGGGGCTGGGGAGCAGGGCACACAGCAGCGGCATAGGACAAGCCAGGAGGGGCTCCTCCGCTCCCTGATTGCTGTGCTGGGCGGGCCTGGGACCTCCCGCCTCAAGAAGCTGTGTGCAGGGCTGAAGCTGGTGCCGTCCCCATGCAGGAACCAGTGTGGCGTGGCCTGGTCAGGGATGCTGTCAGGGAAGCCTGCCCTGCCCACTTCTCTGGCTGCTGAGGGCCCATCCCTGGCCCATGCACTGGGCTGCTGCTCCTGCTGCCAGCTCCCTGCATGCGCCTGGGCAGGGCGAAGCAGGGAACACAGAAGTCACGCTGCAGTAACTCCAAGGGCACTGCACGGGAGCGGGAGTGGCAGCTGGCATCCATGCCAGATCTGGGTGTTTCGCACCGCGCCCAGCACTCAGGCGCTGTGGAGTAAAGGCCTCTCTGTGCTGGGTCTATGCCCAGGCTTGGGGTCCACCCTCATTTCCAAGAGAGCCCTGTCATGGACGCACGCGCGGACACACACACACACACACACACACACACACACACACACACACGCACGTACGTCTTACGTGGCTCGGCCAAGGAGCTCCCTCTGGTCTGAGCGAACATGTCGAAGCCATCGCGGGGGCTGCCCTGCTGCAGGGTGCTGAGGGTGCCGCTGACACTCTGGGTGCCCAGATCTGCAGCCACAGCACAGAGGAGAGGTGGGCAGTAGGCTGTGTGGCCTGCAGCTCCCAGGGTCAGGCCTGTCCCTGGGGGAGCTTCCAGGGGAGGTGGGGCCAAGGCCTGGAGCACCAGACATTTCCCAGCATGACCCCTTTTCTTCTCAGGGTGCCCCTCATTAACCTACACCCCAGCCCTGTGTGATGGCCTGGCCTGGCCAGGCCGTTTAATCTAGTCATTCTTTCATAGGCACCCACGAAGTCCAAGGGTATGGCTGCTGGGGCCCAGCATGCATCTGTGGGGTGGAGGATGGCAGAGGCCTAGGTAGGGGAAAACCTGGGGGCAGGGGTAGCCTGGGGGGGCACGGGGTAGATGGAGACAATTGACAATTCTCCATGGAGGGGTGGTAGACTCTGACGGGTGTATGTGTGCGCATGCACACATTAGGCAGGGCAGCACCAAGGTGCTGCAGCTTAGGATGGCAACCAGCAGGCCCCTCACACAACCTCAGACTGCTGACATGAGGGGGCATGGACGGAGACGAAGGAAAGAAAAGAGAGTGGTGAGATGGGGCCGCGCCCTGTGTGCCACCTCTGGTCCTGTTAACAGGAGGAGCTGTGCTTTCAGCAGTGTGGAACGCTCCAGCTGGAAGCGAGCAGGATACTCGCTCTGTGGCAGGAATCCACCCCCAGGTCGTTGGGACCTGCCGTGGTCTCTGGGCCCAAGCAGCACAGCGGCAGGAGCTCAAAGGGGGCACTGGGCCTTCTGTGGGGTCCTCCCATCAAGAGAGACAAGTGAGTGGTGTGCAGAGGAGGCAGATGGCAGGAAAGGTCCCCCCCGCGAGCCTCCCCAGGAGGCACTCACCCAGACCAGCAAGCTGGGAGGAGAGGGATGCTGCGGGTGTCGAGCTGCCCACCATGGGGCTGACCACGGCGGGAGACCCGGGGCCCAGGTCTATTAAGTTGTCCTCGGTCACCTCGTTCAGCACCTGTGACAACAACAGCATGAGCCTAAGCTCTCGAGCTGAGGATCCAGGCAGGGGCACGGGGGACCCTGCTGGGGCCGCCACGCACGCCTGTCAGTGCCCTGGCCACTTCCGCCCTTAGGGCAGCTGTGACGCTTCGCTCGTCTACACCAGCAGCCAGAGTTTGGGCTGCTGCTACCCAGAGATGCGAGGTGGGATGCCCGGCCACAGAGGCGCCTTCCCCTGGAGGCACACTTACCCCATTGCTGGCCTTCTGAACTGACCGGCCGGACCTGTACCGTTCAAACCTAGGGGGCGGGGGAGAGAAGGCAGAAGTAATGAGACAGGGTTGCCCAGGCCATGTTCCCAAGGCTGGACACGCCTCCCAGGAGCAGAGCCCCAAGAAGGGGTCCCCCACCCCATCTGGGAGGATGGGCATCTAAACTCTGCATTCCTGGAGTTCCTTGAACTGGCACTAAGGAGGAAGGTAGTGTTGGCCAGCACACCGTGGAAGTGACTAGAAGCATCCAGAGCCTCCAGCTCAGGGTGCTGCTGCTCCTGCAGCCCCCGATGGGGAAGCTGTGTCAGCTGTCAGGGTACCCACAAGGCCTGGCAGAGTCAAGCTTGGGAGAAACTGGCCGGCTCCATGGCGGACGGAAAGCCTGAGGTGGGCAGAGGTGTGGGGAGAGCCAGGTGCATCTCAATGTCGCATCTCAAAAGCCCCAAATGCCACAAGTGAGGAAAGCCCAGGAGAGGCTTCCACAGGGGGCACTGTGCCCTGGTGACCTCTACCTCACAAGGGCTGGCAAAGAGCCTGGGCACAAGGGAGTCCCCGTAGGGACAATCAGGCTGTCCAGTGAGCTTGGAGGAAGACTGTGTGTGTGTGTGGCTTTTACAACAGCAGTTGAGAGTGAGGATAAGAATATATATGTTAAATATATAACATTACATATATGTTGTATATATAAACCGATATCTTTCAATTTAAAAGGCAGATATACAGATGTTTCATCCTACTGATTCACTCCCCAGATGTCCACAATGGTTGGGGCTGGGCTAGACCGGAGCGTCACTGGAGTCTCCCACTTGGGCGGCAGGGGCCCAAGCACTTGGGTTATCCTCTGCTGCTTTCCCAGGTGCTAAGAAGGGAGGCAGATGGAAAATGGAGCAGCTAGGGCTCAAACCAGAGCCCAGAGGGGATGCTGGTGCCACAGGCAGACGATTGTGCTGGCCCTGGATGGTGGGAATATTAATGGTGGGTTTCAGCAAAGGTGTGGTGACCATAGCGGCAAGTCAGGGCTGCTTGGGCCCAGCTTAACTCTGTACACTCTTTGTGCAAATGCGCCTGTGAGTTCCTGCTCACTTGCTCCAACAGGAGCTTGACCCAGGCTCAACAAGGGCAGGGAAGCCTGTGTGCCCCCTGCCAGAGTGCCCGGGTGTGAGTTCCCGCTTGGGCTCTAGACTCTAGCTTCCTGCTAACGCAGACCTGGGGAGACATGTGGTGTTGACTCAAGGAACTCCTGCCACCTAAGGGTGGAGCAGATTTCCAGCCCCTAGTCACTGTGGGTGTACAGGGAGTGAACCAGCAGATGGCAGCCCTGCCCGCTGTCTGGGTCTGTCTGTCTGTTTCTGTCAAAACAACAACAATAATAACAACAACTTCCCAAGCCCTCAACCTTAAATCCAATCCCTTCAGGAGGCTGGGATTGTGGGATGGTGAGGGAGCCTCCCTGATTGACCCTGTTCTCCTGCTGCCCTTGGGGAGAGGGCAGGTGTGGACACACTCACATTGCCCCCATCAGATGGGCAGCTGGCCATGGTTGGGTTGAGCCAAGGTCCGGGGTCATGACAGCCGTGACAGGGACGCCTCGCTCACTGGGCTCACTGGGCCCTTGCCTCCGGCAGGCCAAGACTGATTTCCACAGTGAAGGGGTGGTCAGGGAAGGGTAAGGCTGACCTGATTGGTCAAGGTCCTGACCCTGGGCCAATGCAGACAGCCCCGGGTGCAGCCATCAGAGTGAGAGGAGGGAACTGTGCCTGCTGCTGAACCACCTCTTAACCTAAGTCTGGGGCGGAACACTGGTTGGGGACCCCTTTGGGATTGCCTGACTGTATCCTGGCAGCTCCCCTTTCCGTCTGATGCCCTGCTCACGCCCCTGGAAACAGCAGGTGACAGCTCAAGTGCTTGAGTCCCTCTCACCCACATGAAAGACCAGGATGGAGTTCAAGGCCCTTAGCTTGCTGCAAGGAGGGGAATAGGACATGAACCAACAAATGAACATCTCTGCCTTTCAGATCAAAAAAATCACTGAAGGATGCTCTTTTCAAAGAGCTGTTTTACTGATGTCTTTATTCTCCCAGGTGCAACAGCAGGGAGCTGCCTTGGGAATGGGGCAGCAGGGACTCAAACCCTGCAGGCAGCCAGTGCTTATGTAGGACTGTGGTAGGGGCCAGCTCCCATGTATCAAGCTTGAAGAAAAACCAAACCAAACAAAAACACAGCAACAACCCACTAGGCCTAAATCGGATGTTTCAGATTCTAGTAGGCGTGCGAGAGGCATTTGGAAAAGGCAAAAGTTGTCTGGGTTCCGGCAGCACAGCAGGATGTAGCTGCCCCAGAGCTGCGGGGCGGAGAACCAGCAGCCGCCCACACGCCCAGACACGCTGACATTGACAGAGAGAATTGCATTTCTCTGTTTTCTAAAGTGGGGAAGAGAAAATCCTTTGGCATCCTGGAGCTTCTCCCATTTGCACCCTTCTCCAAATCAACAGAGCCTACCTAACCCTCATCCTCTCCTCACAGCTTGCTTCCAGGAGGGCCAGAGGCAGCTCACCGGGGCAGGTGGGGAGGTGCGGGGGAGCACACGGCACCTCCCACCAGCATTTCCCACCTCCGGTCTGCACCCGTCGTAACCTCGGTTTAGGAAACCCCCAGGCCGAGGGTGCGCAGGCGCGTGGGGGCGGGGCGGGGCCCACCTCTCATATCGCAGGAAGACGTTGTTGAGGTCGTCGTTGACGTGCAGCAGCTCCTCTGTGACCTCCTCGTTGGACACGCGGGAGATGAGCTCCACAACGCGCTGCTGCATGGCGCGGCAGGTCCTGTTCAGCTCCTGCGGGGGGACACATCCCAACTGCCTGCAGGGCCCGCGTGCGCTGACTCTGCAAAGTCCCCCAGGGGCGCACAGCTTGTTCACGAAAACCGGACGTGCATGGAATGCCAAGTGCCAGGGCCCTGCTCGCCACTGCCTCCGGCGCCTCCTGCCCCAGGAAACTAGATCGCTGGTGTGGAGAGCCACCCGAGTCCCCTCCCGTGCAGAACGCGGGATATGGCACAGATTATTATCACAGGTTTGTGAAAACATACTTGCCTGGGCCTTGTCATCTTGCAGGCCCTCTTTTCTGTGGCCATGGATGGCCTGCGGCCTGCATCCTCTCTCTGGGTGTTACAGGGGGACCCTTCTTGGCCACTGTGCAGCGTTGGGCTGTGGCCTCCCTTTTGCTAGCTGACCCAGAGCAGCCATGAACATCTGTGCGCACGCACACACGCCTGCACTTCCCCAGGAGAGCTTCCTCACAGGTGAAATAACGGGGTGCAAGGGTTCAGACACGTAGACTTGCAGCTGGCCATGTGGCCATGGAGCGTCTGCCCCCACATCAGAGCCTCCTGCCCTTATGGCCAACAGGAGCCCCCGTGCAGCACAGAGGCCAGGATGCTGTCCGCAGCCGGGCCACAGAGCGGAGTTCACAAACCCCTCACACCACATGGTCAGACTCACTCTGGAGGGCAGAGAGGATGCCTCAGGACCCATGTTAGACACAGGAGACTCCCATGGGTGCTCCGAGCAGGGAGACGACTTCTCTTGTCAATGCAGGCAGCGTCAGGGCTGAGGCCAGCTCCTGCAGGGAGGGCCGGGACACCTGCCCGGCTAGCCGGCAGCTCCACATTGGCAGCAATGGTGCCCTTGACCTTGGTCCACTCTGGTGGAGCCCTGGCACAGCCAGACTGCTGCTCTCTGGGCAGGCAGACTCCATGGCTACCCAACTCCTGGCTCTCCTGGGACTCCCGGCCCAGGTTCTGGAGAAGGCAAGGGGCTTTGAGTGAACATGGCTCACAGTGTCTCTCTCTCCCTCTCTATGCTCTCCAGGAGCAGCTGGGGACAGCCGTCCAGCAGGTCCCAGAGGTGCGGGGGGGCTGGGGGGAGGTAGAGGCCAGGCTGGGGCCCTAACGTAGGGGAGGGACTGGGAGGCGCGCTCCGCCCAGTTGGAGGACGTCAGCCGTCTTCCCAGCACTGCACACTCCAATGTTGGGGGACTCTCCTTCATCTGCAATCTGCTGCCGCTCTTTCAAGGCCTTCCCCCTGGGCCCTGTCTACACAGGCACCAACGTGGGTCCGCCATGGACACTCACAGCTCAGCGAGTGGGACAGTTCTGGCCCGCAGACAAACCGGCAACACCATGCAAGGCACAGCCCTGAGGCTTTTCTCTTGAGAGACGCTGCGGAGTAGGTTGGCCCCTGCCAGTGCCACGTGGAATGTTACGTTAGAAAGACCCACGGTGATGGACGGTGAGGACTCCAATAGCCAGGGCTGCGGGGAGCACGCCCCGAGGGCTGTGATGGAACACAGGCAGTGTGACCTTGGCCCAAGGTCTCTCCCTCATTTGGAGGGTACACTCGAGGGAGTGCTACTCGGGGAGGGCAGAATGGAGAAGAGCGAGTGCTCAAGCCATGGCACAGGTGTGGGTAGGCTGGCATGAGATAGATGTGGACACCCCAGCTACAGGACAGGTGCGGGGCTGGGCGGCCCGGGGCCGAGGCTGACCTCTCTGCAGGAGTCACAGTATATTGTCCCTTGCCAGGCCCTCTGCACCTTCTGCAATGCAGGTGTCTGTGGGCAATTTTGTAGAGGCAGGCAGAAGGGTCTCGACAGCAGCACACCCAGCAGAAGCAGCTCAGGGAGCCATGGGCTGGCACCAAGCACTGGCAGCTTGAGGCTTGGTGGCCACACATCAGCAGCAGGCACAGGACCTGCCAGTTGGGATGGGGAGAGAGGGCAAGGCCTGGGCCCACACTGTGCACTGTCCAAGAGAGCAGGTGACCTGAGGCACGTGCTATGCTGCTCAAGTATCCCTGAGAAATCTCACTCTGTCGGCAGGATCCCTGTATCCTTTCCCGTCAAAAGAGGAAAAGAAAAACCCCTCCTGTTCTTAGGGACTCAGGATGGGCGGAGCAGTTGAAGCCCTGCTCGGCATGCCAGGATCCTGTCTCACCCACAGTGTCCGATCCGGTCCCGGCTCGGTTTCTGATTCAATTCTTGGGCCCTGGGGGCAGGGCCGGCCAAGCTGCTGTATAGGGTGCTGGCAGCCCATAGCCCAGTGCCTGGCTTGAGCCCCACATACCCTTTTCAGCTTCCTCTGGCTTCCTGATGTGCTCAGCAGGCTGCAGGTACTGGCCCAAGCGCCGGGTTGCAGTGCAGTTCCTGACTTGAGCTTGGCCCAGCCCCGGCTGTTGTAGGTTCTGGAGGAGTGACTCAGCAGATGGAAGACTGATTCTCTCTCTCTCTAGTTTCCCCCTTTTGTATCACTCTAATTTTCAAATAACTACTTTCTAAAAAAATATTTATTTGGGCCTGGTGCAATAGCGTAATGGTTAAAGTCCTCGCCTTGCACGTGCCGGGATCCCATATGGGCACCTGTTCTAGTCCCAGCGGCCCCACTTCCCATCCAGCTTCCTGCTTGTGGCCTGGGAGAGCAGTTGAAGACGGCCCAAAGCCTTGGGACCCTGCACCTGTGTGGGAGACCTGGAAGAGCTCCTGGTTCCTGGCTTCAGATTGGCACAGATCCAGCCATTGCGGCCACTTGAGGGGTGAACCATCAGATGGAATATCATCTTCTCTGTCTCTCCTCCTCTCTGTATACCTGACTTTGCAATAAAAAAATAAAACAAATATATATATATATTTTTAAATATTTATTTATTTTTATTGGAAAGGCAGGTATACAGAGAAGAGGAGAGACAGAGAGGAAGATCTTCCGTCTGTTGATCCACTCTCAAAGTGACCACAATTGCGCCGATCCAAAACCAGGAAGCCAAGAACTTCCTCCAGGTCTCCCACACGGGTGCAGGGTCCCAAGGCTTTCCCAGGCCACAGGTAGGGAGCTGGATGGGAAGTGGAGCAGCTGGGACATGAATCAGCACCCATATGGGATCTTGGCGCGTTCGAGGGCAGGACTTTAGCCACTAGGCCACTGTGCCAGGCCCTCAAATAACTACATTAATAAAATATTTTACTCTTGCTTCTTCTTTTAAAAAAGATTTATTTATTTTTATTGGAAAGGTAGATACACAGAGAGGAGGGAGAGACAGACTGGAAGATCTTCCCTCTGATGACTCACTCCCCAGGTGGAGGCATTAGCTGGAGTTAAGGATGACCCAAGGCCTTGGGCCCCTGTATACATGTAGGAGACCTGGAAGCAGCTCTGGACTCCTGGCCTTGGAATAATCTGACTCCAGCTGTTGTGGCCTCTTGGGAGAGTCAATCAGTGGATGGAAGATCTGTCTCCTGTCTGTAACTCTGCCTTTCGAATAAATAAAGTAAATATTAAGGGCCTGGCGGTGTGGCCAGCTGAAGTCTGTGCCTTGAACACGCACCAGGATCCCATATGGGCGCCAGTTCTAATTCCACTTCCCATCTAGCTCCCTGCCTGTGGCCTGGGAAAGCAGTCGAGGACGGCCCGAAGCTTTGGGACCCTGCACCTGTGTGGGAGACCTGGAGGAGGTTCCTGGCTCCTGGCTTCGGATTGGCACAGCACCGGCCATTGCGGCTCACTTGGGGAGTGAACCATCAGATGGAAGATCTTCCTCTCGGTCTGTCCCTCCTTCTCTCTGTAAATTTGCCTTTCCAATACAAATACATAAAAAACTAGTGAAGATAAAGTTCCAAAAGCTATACAGAGAAGAGTTCCAAAAAGTATACAGAGAAGAGTATATCTGACTTTGTAATGAAAATAAAAATAAATCTTAAAAAAAAAAAAAAACCCTTAGAGACGCAGGTGAGAGACAGATGAGAATCTAAGGTCTCTCTCTGCCCGTGCTGTGAGCTGGCTGCCTGTGCCCACAGCCTCATGCTCCTGCCCACTCCACTGCACTGACGCACACAGTGTCACTGGCATCAGGGCCTGAGCCTCCAGGTGGGTCAGCTCACACTCCGCCAGTGGGACAGCTTAGTCCACCTTCACCCTCCTTCCTGGCCTGTGACCCTCAATGGAGGCGGACAAGAGCCAGTGACCAGGGCCAAAGCCGACTCCCAGTTGTCCTGGTTGAAATGAAACATGAGCAGTGACCTAACATTTGCTACTGGAAGGCATGATGTGCACCATGGCCATGTAACAAAGAGCATCCTGGCACTACTGGATCAATTACGAGTTAATGTTTGAGGAGTCAGCACCATGGCACAGCAGGGTAAGCCAGGGTCCCGTATGGGTGTAGCTTCTCGTCCTGTCTGCTCCATTTCTGATCCAGCTCCCTGGTCATGGTCTGAGAAAGCAGTGGGGATGGCTCAAGTCCTTGGGCCCCCTGCACTCGTGTGGGAGACCTGAAAGAGGCTGCTGGCTTTGGGTCAGCTGAGTTGCAGCCACGGTGGCCACTTGTGGAATGAACCAGCTGATGGAAGATCTTCCTCTCTCTCTGTCCCTCCTTCTCTCTGTAAATCTGCCTTTCCAATACAAATACATAAAAAAACTAGTGAAGATAAAGTTCCAAAAGCTAACCTGGGAGAAGTATAAAGTATTGGGTGACAAGGATCAGGCTCTCCAGGGGCCGGTGCTGTGACCCATTCGGGACTCCTGCGTCCCTGTGGAGTGAATGGTAGGTTCAAGTCCTCCCTCTGTTCCTTGCTCCAGCTCCCCGCTAATGCACAGATCCTGGCCCCTAGGTTCCTGCCATCCTGGATGGAGACCCTGGCTACTGGCACTGGTCCTGACCCAACCCTGGCTGCTGTGGGCATCTGGGGGAGTGAAAAAGCCCAAGGAAGATCTCTCTCCAGACTTAAACTTGTGTCTGCAACTCCAGGGTGACATTGATGCCACCAGGCCCCCAAGGGAGGCATGGAGGGCTGTGACTTGCCTGACATCCCCCCGCTTCCCTGCTTCTGTGCTGTAGGCCAGGAGGTGTATCGAGTCATCTATAAGCCCCACTGCCTCCCCATGCTGCTCCCCCAAATCCAAATCCAAGTCCAATCCATCTGGTTTGGAAAACACAGTGCTGCCGTGGGCCGCCAGCAACAGCTCGCTTCTGGGGACGTGAGCAGAAGGCAGGCCGGGGGGGCAATGCTGGAGGTGCTGAGCAGAACCTGAGTTGGACCAGCTCCCTGGAGGTCTCCCCCCACCTCCTAGAGTGAGAGAGGTAATGCATGTGGTGGCTATTCTAGGAACGCAGCCTCCACGGGGCTCCAGCTGTGAGCTGACCGCCATTCTGTCTCCTCCCCAGCAACTGGCAACCGGGAGGGAACAGCTGCTGCGGGCAGGGACGTCTGGGGTGGCAGCCCTTGGCTAGCAGGCTGAGCCCGGCACTGCTTCACCCAGAGCACCAGGGCTGCCCTGCTGATGGATGGGGTGGGGACTGTCCCCAGGATGTCTTGGGATGCCAGCATTTTTTTCCTAGCAGACTAGAGCACTTTCCTGCAGGGGGTAAAGTGGGGATTTTGGAACTAACTGTTGGGAGGAGGCAAAGGAAGGGAGGTAGCAGGGAGGGCCGAGGTGGCTGGCTGCCAGTGAGGCAGACTAAGTCCCCATCCATCCCCCAGATGCCCGGAGTCGCTGCCCCTTTGCTGCTCCATTTCTAAGATAGCAGCGAAGGCTGTTGAGCTTGGAGCAGGACCAAGACGGAGGGAAAGGAAACGTCACGGGAAGCAGCCTATTTTTGAAAACTGTGAGCTGACGCCAGGAGATTAGCTTCTGTTTGTCTTGGCTGATGGGCTTGTTTGAAAAAAAAAAAAAAACCCACAAAACAAAACAACAAAAAAAAAAAAGCTCCCAAAAACCAGTTACACACACACAAAGGATCCTGCAGTCTGGGCAGGCTCCGGTCTCTGCAAGCACCTTGCACCCTCCTGCTGCTGGGAGCACAGCTCTGGCCAACAGGGATCCCACTGCCCTGAGAGTCCAGGCCTCAGCTGAGCCTCTGGGGGGATGCTTGACATAGCCCCTCCTGCAGGTGGGAACCGGGGCCAGGGCGGAGGCAGCAGTGTGGAGGCAGCAGTGTGGAGGCGGAGGCTGGGTCGGGGTTCCTCGTTCTGGCTTTGGGAGCGGTGTGATCCCACACTTCCCAGTCTCCTGCCCTAAGCTGGGGCCCCAGATCTTGTCTCTTAGGACCCTGAAGACTTGTGCTTTGTCCCCACCCACAAGTGCTGCTGGCTTTGGTGGGTGGAATGGGGCGCTCCCCAGAAGCAGCGTGGGGCTGGGCTGTGGGCAGGACTTCCAGAGCTCATCTCCGATGGCTCAGGGTGGGGCGGGGCGAGACAGGTGACTGAGATGGAAATGGCAGCAGTTGGGGCAGGAGGGCCCTCCTGCCCCCCACTTCAAGGATCTAGCACTTGAAGCTCTTGGCAGCCTCACGCCAGCCTTCCAGAAGCTTGCTGTTTCTGAAGGCAACGCTGCTGCCACCTGCTCCAGGCTAGTGCAACACAGGTGTGTTCTGGCAAACAGGGCTGGGGGTAGGGGCTCCCGAAGCCCGATAGTGAGGCCCCAGCCTGCTCCTGCCCCTCGGGCTATTGCACCCCCGTTCAAGTACTGCTCCCAGTCCTGGTTCTGCTGCCGAATCCAGCTGCCTGCTGACATAAACCCTGATACTGACCCAAGTACTGGGCCCCTGCCGTTCACATGAGAGATCTGGGAATGGCGTGGGCATTTGGGGGAGTGACCCAGGTGGAAGATCCCTGCCTTTCAAATAAAATCAAAGGGTTGCTAGCACTGTGGAGTAGTGGGTCAAACTACCCACCTGTGATCCCAGCATCCTATAAGGGTGCCAGTTCAAGTCCTGGCTACTCTATTCAGTGGAGGATAGCCCAACTGCTTGGGTCCCTCCACCTGCATGGGAGACCTGCAAGAGGTTCCTAGCTCCCGGCTTTGGACTGCCCGAGCTCTGGCTGTTGAGGCCTTAAGGGGAGGGAACCAGCGGATACAAGATCTTTGTCTCTCCTCTGTCTGAACTCTGCCTTTCAAATAGAAGTCAATAAAAAAAATTTTTAAGATTTATTTATTATTTTTATTGCAAAGGCAGATATACAGAGAGGAGGAGAGACAGAGAGGAAGATCTTCCATCTGGTGGTTCACTCCCCAAGCAGACACTACGGCTGGAGCCGAGCCAATGCGAAGCCAGGAGCCAGGAGCTTCTTCCAGGTCTCCCACACAGGTGCAGGGTCCCAAGGCTTTGGGCCGTCCTCGACTGCTTTCCCAGGCCACAGGCAGGGAGCTGGATGAGAAGCGGAGCTGCCGGGATTAGAACTGTGCCATTATGGGATCCTGGCGCGCGTAAGGCGAGGACTTGAGCCACTTACACTATCGTGTCGGGCCCAGAAATAAATAATTTTTTTTAAGCCAACAGTAATTATCTGTGGATTCTTGGACTAAAGTACTCTGTACTTGTCCTCTGTACTTTTCATTTGGTGGGTGTGCATTCTATAACTGCATTCAGAATCAGGAAAAAAACGTAAGCAAGGCGAATGAGAAAGAACTGCTCCACCAGCCTCTGACCAACCTCAGGCCAGCCTGGAGAACATGACAGCCCCGTTCTGCAGGACGGCGTCCCCCTGCTCACCTGCAGCAACTCCAGATCAGAGGAGTCCTCCTGCCCGGGGACCATTTCTGTCAGCATCTCAGACATGACTTTGGTGTTTCCGCGGACGACATCCAGCTCGCTTCGCAGTCTGGCAATCTGGGAGTGGGGTGGAACGGAGTGAGGGAAGGGAGGTGGGGAGGGAGTAGTCAGGCAGCTGACACCCAGGCTCTCAAGTGGTTGCCCACCTGGGGCTGGGCCCCTCCTGTCCATGGCCAGGCGAGACCTGGGTGCCCACTCCGAGTCTGCATTGTGCAGAGAGGGAGTGGCCTTCAACCTCAGCTCTTGCACGTGACCTAGAATAGGAACCTGACCTCTGTTGGGAGTGTGTGCAGCTGCTCCTGAACCCCCAAGGGTGCACGCAGGTGCCCTGAGGGCCTTCAGACTGGCTCCATGAACCCTGCTCCAGAGACTGTGGAAATCTAAACCCAGTGAGAGGCCAGCCAGGTGTAGCAAGGAGAGACACAACAGGGCCAGGGGCAGCGCTCCTCCCCGTACACTGCCTCTCTGCAACCCAGCCCTTCTCGCATGGCCCTGGGAGGGACTCCAAGCTTTCCCATGCTGCAGCAAGGGACTCCTGCACTTTAGAACAGCTCCTTCATCCCTCCTGACTCCCCTCTCCCCCTTGAAGACCTTCCCTGCCCATGCTGCCCTGGTTCCAAGGCTCAGCCACATGAGACCAGCGCATGCTGGGAAGATGGTGACAACCCTGAGACTCTGCTTGGGGGACTGTGTTCCTCCTCAGTGAAGACCTGCCCCTGCCCTGGTACCCTCCCCACAACCCCAAGGTGCAAGGGTCCCTTCCCCGTTGCCATGGCCACCAACGCAGCAAAGCAGGGCCTCCCCTGTCTTGTCAGATACCCAGCTCCTCAGGGCTGGCACTCAGCTAGGGACAGGGATCTCTCCTGCTGGCTGCTGGCTGTGCCCTGGAGCTGAGGAAAGGCTGCTGGCTGGGAAGGCCCAGGCACATTGGAGGGAGTGAGCAAGTAGGCTCTGGTGACCTCCTAGGTGCGCGTCTGCTTTCTATTTTGGCTGATGTGGTGCTGGGAGAGCCTTTGCCCATGGTACCGACAGTGAGGTGGTCCAGGGATCCAGGGGGTGTCCGACTGTCACCATGTATGAGGCCTTGGAACAGGAAACAGGGACCTGCTGGGGGAAGGAAGGCCTAGGGCCATGTGGGTAACACTGACCCAGCTCACAGGACCTCCTCCTCCTGCCCCTCAGGCCTTCAGCTGCCCCAGCAGACAGTGGGGGAGGTATTGGAGCCGAAAGCATCACTATGAGAGCAGCTGGTGGCCCCATGTGGCTTCACCATGCTGCCCACCCAGTTCCAGGGATGAGGGCAGGGGCCCGGCACTGGCACAGCATCGGGGCCGCCTACATGAACTCGCCAGGGCTCTGTTTCCCGGAGGACGCTGCAGGCCACCTGGGTTCTGGTGCTGTTACTTGCAGCCCACAGGCAGTGACCCGCCCACCGGGGTGCTGGTGACATCACTCGCAGCCCACAGGCAGTGATGACCTGCTGCCCACCAGCCAACCCCAGAGGTGCTGAATGCTGAGTCCCGCCTGAGGCTGCCTTAGCTGGCTGGACCAAACCATCTGGTGGGGTCTCAGAGAGCCTGTGGGGCTGGACCTTCCCCACCTGCGAGGGGAGCAGACTGTGTTTTAAAAGTCCGCCTGAATCTCCAACTTTCTGGATTTCTCTACAGGTCAGTCTTCATAATCCATCCTTAGTGTGATCCAGTTAAAATGGCCTTAGCCAATCAGGGTGTGGCACAGGGGAGGGAGGGCAGGCTGGTGGCGTCCTAGATAAAGCAGGCAGTGTCCCCGGGCACAGGGCCTCACCTAACCACACAGCCCCACTTTTGTTCTGGGGATCCCCAGGGACCCTCAGCTCCTGGGCCTGCTTCCAGGCCCAGCACTGAGTAGGCAGTGTGGGAGATGGGATGGTGGGAGGGCCTGGTCCCCTGTCCCCCTCCTCCCTCCACTCACCTCACCCTTTCCACCCCGGACAGCAGGGGCAGAGCGTGGCCCCACAGCTCGTGCAAGTACCTGTTCCGAATTGGCCGTGATGGGGCCTGTGACACTCAGGGCTGGGGCCTGCAGCGCCGAGTAGGGAGCGGGAGGTGGCGCCGAGTAGGAGACGCTGCCAGACCTCTGCTGGGACTGGGACCTGGGCATGCTTGTGGCTGGATCCACTTCGGGGACACTCTGCCTCAATGACAACAACAATAGAAAGACCCTGTGTTGGCCAGCTTGCCAGGGCTGCCTCGGTGGCTAGCCAGGAGGCTCAAGGTCCTCTCTGGGCCCAATCGTCCCACTCTCACAGTAGGGCCACCGAGTGTCCCACCTCCCCCCTCATAGGAGCGTATGACAGACAACTGTTTCAAAGATGCCTGGGGGGAGACCAGGCTGGGGCTGGTATTCAGTTTTGTTCATTGCCAGCCCTTAACATACAGTCCGATCACAGCTGGGCTGTGAGAGACAGCAATGATACAATTTCCCTACCATCATGGGACGGCCAGCCTGGCTCTGTGTCCTTCTTAGAGGAATGGGATGGGCCAAGTGGTGAGCGGGGTCAGTAAGCAGGCTTTGGGAGGTTCAGTGTCCGGGACCCCCTCCCTCAGGGTCATCCTGGACAGCCTGGATTGACAAGGGGACCCCCGCAAGGACTGTGCTGCTCGAGGGCCCCGGTCTAAAGACAGCAGAGCAGGCAGCCGGAAGTCAGAATGCCCCTGCACAGTCCCTGGAACTTTCCTGGCCTTAAACAGTGCCAATGACCCACACAGGCTGCCCAACAACCACCTCCTCTCCCTCCCTGCCCCACTCAGCCCCCTCTGGGATACTCTTCCACAGTCATATGAAAAGCGGGGGGGTGGGAGGGGGCACACTGCTGCCACTTAATCACCAGTCAACCAGCTGTCACACGCCTGCACTCCCCTTGTTATTAAAACGAAATGCCCTCTGGGGCCTTCTTCCGTGCGGCTGCGGTGCTCCAGGGTGCGCGAGATGAGAAGCCGGAGAGCAGACACACGGCGCGGCAGCGACTCAAGGTTCGCCTGCGCCTTCTGGGAAAGGCTGCCTGGCCGCTTACCCGCTGCGGTGTGTGTATGGGAGACAGCGCGTCCAGGTCGGCCATGGGGAAGTCGACCCCTTTCCTCTTGAGTTCCTCATAGATGTGTACCACGCCGGTGAGGTCAGGGCTGCTGCGGAAGGCGTCGGCCCACGCCTGCCAAGGGCAAGGGCAAGGCCGCCCTGATGAGGACTGCTCCCCCAGGGCAAAGTGGGGCAGCAACCCCCACCTGCCCCCAGCCCAACCCCACCCCTGCCGTCGGCCCCGTCCCAGCCCCACGGGACCAGCATCTTTCCAAAAACCCAATGCCCCCCTGGCAAAGCTAATGGCAACAGCGGCCCCTCCATGACAGGGCTGGTGAGTCTGGCTCTCCAGCTGTGCGGCTGAGTGTGAAGGAAAACGTGAAAGTGGACGTAGCGTATGTTTCCTCAGCAGGCAGAGCAAGTCGGAAGGTAGATCAGATGCCCTCGTGGCTGTGTTGCCCAGCCTTGCCCAGCCTTGCCCAGCCTTGCCCAGTTCAGAAGCTGCCTTCAGCTCAGAGGCGGGCCCACCCCAAGGGTGCTGCTTCTCCCATCCTGTCCTCCTGCCTGCTGCCCGTGCCCGACAGAGGGCACAGCTACGAGATTTCCTGAAAACAGTGCGAACGATGGACCAAATGTTCCAAAGGTCTCTCCAGTCAGGAAACTCATGAAATACACTGTTCTTTGGAAGTTAAAGATTGTATCAAGAAAAAAAGAAAAAAAAAAAAGAAGCCTAATGTTGTGGCACAGTGGCTTAAGCCACCATCGCCTGAAGCCACCATCGCCTGACACGGGGCAACAGTCTGAGTCCCAGCTGCTCCATTTCCAACCAGCTCCCTGGGAAAAGCAGCCCTGGATGGTGCAAGTCCTTGGGTGCCTGCACACACACCTGGGAAGACCTGGATGCAGATCCTGCCTCTTGGCTTGGATTGGGCCTAGCCCCAGCTATTGTGAACAGCTGGGGAGTAAACAAGTAAGATGACACATCGCCTTTCAAATTAATAGATCTTATTAAAAAAAGATTTTTTTTTTTTTTTAAAGGCAGAGTTACAGAGAGAAGGAAAGACAAAGAGGAAGATCTTCCATCTGCTGGTTCACTCTCCAAATGGCCGCAACAGCTGGAGCTGAGCCAATGTAAAGATAGGAACCAGGAGCTTTTCCAAGTCTCCCTCGCAGGTGCAGCGTTCCAAGGCTTTGGGCCATCTGCTGATTTCTCAGGCCACAAGCAGGGAGCTGGATCGCCTGTGGAGCAGCTGGGTCACAAACCGGCACCCATTGGGGATGTTGCCCAGGTGACACTTAGCCTACCATACCATAGCACTGCCCAAAGATAAATCTTGTTTTTTTTTTTTGTTTTTTTTTTTAAAGCATATCTGAAGGAAGGGCTCCCTGGAAGCATTGCTCAGCATCTCCCGTGCCATTTGACCCTGAGCTCACCCTATGTTTGTGCCCAGAGGAGGGGCAGCCTGAAGCACTTGTTTGTGGCTCTGTCACCAAGTCTGCTGTCAGCCCAGCATTTGAGTGCGTGACTCCAGCCAAGCTTAGGAGCCCATCCCCCAGCAGTCACAGAAACAAGCTCCTCAAGGAGGTCAACAGGAGAGGCCTGTCACCCAGAGCCTTCAGGTGGCCCCCTCCCAGCCCCCACTGCCTTCATTTGCATGCTAGGGTGAGAGGTGGTAGGGCTGCCTGTCTGGGACTCTGAATGAGTCTGCAGAGGGGGAGGCCCAGCCCTAGGGAGGGCCCCAGAGTTCAGTCCCTCCCCTAATCTAACCCCCCCCCCCCCAATTAAGCATCCAGCTGAGTCCTGGCTCCAGCTTCCAAATGCCCTAGCATCTCACTTGGTGTCTAAAGTTTAGGGTGTCAGAAATCACTTTCACAGCCTCCTGGGTTGGGTAGGCTGGGAGTAAACAGAGGTGCAAAGCTGCAGGGCCCCTTGCCGCTGCCCTGGGCCCATCCCTGCCAGCTAGTGCTACAGAGCCACGGCCATTCTCTCACATCCCCTTCCGGCTACGATCACCTAGGGTGCCCAGTCACCATGGCCTGTACCATGGGACAAGGATGAAAACACGCACGCACACACACTGGTAGCCAGGTCGGGCTGATGAGATTCTGCCCCAGCTTTGGGAGGGCCGAGTGGCAGGTGGACGCGGGTCCAGGGCATGGGGCGGAGACACAGCAGCTGGTGCTGTGAGAGGCACAGACACCAGGGTGTGGAAGGTGTATTCTGTCCCTGCCCTGGTGGCCTGGGGGCAGCCAGAAGGCTCCACCTGGTTCTGGCAAGCTCCATCTTTGCCCGGGCATCTGCCATATTGGCCCACAAACCCCCTTCAGACCTGGCAGGGCTGCCCCCACCACGGCCGCTAGCGTAGCACATGTTGCCAGCAGCGGTCTCCACCGAGCCAGACTCTGATGCCAATGGGGGAATGAATGTGAGTGGCAGGCTGGGGGGAGGGGGATGAGGGCAGCAGGAGCCTTTAAAGAAATAATCCCATGTGAAAACACATAGCATATGGGCCGTTCCAGAAGAATCATGCCCTGCCCCCCTACCCACTGCTCCCCCTCCCCTCCCAACAACTGGGGCAGATGCCTCTTAGAAGGCCGCCGGGCAGCGCTTGTCGGTTTAAATGGAATTCGGTGCTCCTGGTTATTACACACACACGCTTGCTTTCCTACACGGGAGAGCAAAGACCAGCTGGCTGCTGAGGCTGTCACAGACTAAAGCGACAGTGTGACACACGTAGGGTCCCTGGGGGCTGAGCTAGCACAGAAATCTCCCTGGGGTGAGGCTGGGGGTGGTAGAACTGGGTGGGAGGGGCAGGGTCGGGGTGTCTGCTCAGTCAGGCTGGCCCAGCTGTCCCCTGGCCCATGAGCTGGACAGGGAAACGACCAAGAGGTCACCCGTGTCACAGGATGCCACACGCCTCAACAGTTCCCTCTTTTCCTGCCTGTGCTCGCCAGGAGGAGACTCTAACGAGGAGAATAAAGGCCAGAGAGACCAGCTGGTGCTGGCCGCCAGGACACAGCCCCACACAAACACCAACCACGTTCCCAACTCCCTGTGCCTGCTAGCTTTCCATCACCCGCCAGAGAAGAGATACGCTGGCTTACACTAGGACAGAAACCAGAAAACAGAAAAGGCGACTTCTGTCTCTTGCAGCTCACAGTCCCGGAGCAGTGCCAGGGGTGCCAACACAGGGCCCCCGAGGCTGCACTGCCTCTGCCTTTCCTAAGGCAGCAATCCAGGTCCCCTGCGCCTTTGGGAACACGACACCTCTGACCCCAAGCCTGTCCCTGTCTCAGAAGCTCCCTTTCTCGGGTGGAAAGAGGAACCCTTGGTGGGAAGAGAAAAAAAGAGTATTTTTAGCCCCCATCTCTGGGTGCAGGTGGGGGGTGGAGATGAGGATGCTGAAGTCTCGGAGGAGCCCAGGCCTTGTCCTTCTATATACAGGGACCATGTGAAAACGGCGGAGGGGTGGTACCAGCTGAGGCTGCCGGACACAAGGCCTTTGGTGGCCACCCTGCCTTCCTGCCCTTCCTCCCACCCTGCTAGAGAAACCAGCTCCTTCTAGGACAGAAACCTAACGTGGGGCTGAGCTGCAGGGGTTCAACTGTGGGGCTAGGAGAGGTGGAGGGGAGGGCAGTCCTTATGGGGACCAATGCCAGGGGCCTCTGGGGTATAGGAGCGTGAGGGGCTGGCTGGGGCACGTGTGTAGGGATGCGCAGGGGTGAGTGGAGGATGGTGTATGTGTGTATATATACAGGGCTCAGTGGAGCAGAGTGGTATGTATGTGTAGGGGTCAGTGGTGGAGGGAAGCGTGTGTGTGTGTGTGTGTGTGTGTGTGTGTGTGGTGAGTGATGGAGGGCAGCATGTGTGTGTAGGGGTGAGTGGAGGATGGTGTGTGTGTGCGTTTGTAGGGCTCAGTGGAGGAGGGTGGTATGTATGTGTAGGGGTGAGTGGTGGAGGGCAGCATGTGTATGCATGTGTAGAATTGAGCAGTGGGGGCCTGGTTCTAATCCTGGCAGCCCCACTTCCCATCCAGCTCCCTGCCTGTGGCCTGGGAATGCAGCAGAGGACAGTCCAAAGTCTTGGGAACCTGCACCTGCGTGGGAGACCTGGAAGAAGCTCCGGGCTCCTGGCTTCAGATTGGCTAAACTCTGGCTGTTGTGGCCCCTTGGGGAGTGAATCATTGGGCAGGAGATCCTCTGTGTCTCTCCTATCTATATATGTAACTTTTTAATAAAAATTTTAAAAAATAATAAATCTTTAAAAAAAGAAGTAAGTGGTGGAGGATGACGTGGGTGTAGGGGGTGAAGAGTGGTGTTAGAGGGGTGAAATCTGAGAGATACAGAATACAAACTTGGGGGAGGAGAGGGCAAGAGATGAAGGGGCCAGGCCTGGGGGCTCGGGGTATTCAGCCATCCTCCAGTTCCCAGGAGACCTGGAAGGCCCCCGGAGGACTGGCATTGTGGAGCGGGGAGTCAAGCTGTTGCCTGTAACGCTGGCCTCCCATATCAGTGTCAGTGTTGAGTCCTGGGTCCTCTGTTTACGAGGCCGGGGGAGGTCCTTGGGTCCCTGCCACGTACATGTGGGAGACCCGGATTCAGTCCTGGGCTCCTGGCTTCCGCCAGGGTATTTACAGAAGAATCAACTGGTACATGAGCGCTCGCTCTCTTTCTCTCTCTATGTCACTGCCTTTCAGATAAATAACATGGAAAAGCAGCAGCAGCCGCCTGCTGACGAGAGGGTTGGCAGGGGCTGGGGCTTCAGTGCATTCCCCAAGGTGAGCCGCTTCCAGCACAGCCTGCTCGCCATTCACCTGCTGCCGCCAGAAGCAGGCACCTGCCAGCCTCACTCCTGGCTCAGCAGCACCTTCTCTCCCAGAGAAACCCTCAGACTCCCTGGGGGGGGGGTGGTGGGGGGGGTGGGGGGTGGTGGGGTGTGTGTGTGTGTGTGTGTGTGTGTGTGTGTGTGTGTGTGTTTTCATGAGGCCCCAAGAGGTAAGTGGCTAAAGTCCTCGCCTGCATGGGCGTCAATTCGTGTCCCAGCTGCTCCACTTCCCATCCAGCTCCCTGCTTGTGGCCTGGGAAAGCAGATGAGGACGGCCCAAAGCTTTGGGACCCTGCACCCATGTGGGAGACCTGGAAGAAGCTCCAGGCTCCTGGCTTCGAATCAGTACAGCATCAGCCGTTGCGGCTCACTTGGGGAGTGAATCATTGGATGGAAGATCTTCCTCTCTGTCTCTCCTCTCTGTATATCCGCCTTTCCAATAAAAATAAATCTTTTTTTAAAAAAAGGAGGGGTTCAGACTGGGGGACCCCCTCTTTTATGGGAAAAAGCCCCATCTGTATTCCTGGGGTACTGAGGCACACACATGTAGCCCTGGAAGAAGGGGCTAAGAGGGGGTCAGATGTGGAGGTAGGGGGTAGGTGGAGTGTGTATGAGGTGTGAGACACAGAGTGTGTGAGCCCCGGGGGAGGGAGGGAGCAGCACAGAGCAAGGGGCACTGTGGAGGGAGCGCCTCCGGCACCATGCTCCTCCCCTTTCCAAGGCTGCAGGCCAGTACATCCACTGCTTAATCAAAATAAAAAGGGACTCGACACCATGGCTCCATGGCTAAACCCTCGCCTTGCAAATGCTAGGATGCCGTATGGGTGCCGATTCATGTCCCAGCAGCCCCACTTCCCATCCAGCTCCCTGCTTGTGGCCCGGAAAGCAGATGAGAATGGCCTGAAGCCTCAGGGTCCTGCACCCACGTGGGAGACCACGTGGATGGGGTTCCAGGCTCCTGACCTGGTCACACCTCAGCTGTTGCGGCCATTTGGGGAGTGAACCAGCAGACAAAAGCTCTCTCTCGGTCTTTCTTTCAAATAAATGAATCAACCTTTGAACAAACATGAACTCTACTCTCATTATTCGGCTGTTCTAGATGGACAAGGTGTCCCTGGGTGAGGCAGATGGCAGGCAAGCCAGCATACAGAGACGTGAGAGGTGGCAGCCCGTGTGTTTCTTCCAGTCAGGCGTGAAGACAAGGAGTCAATGGCTTTCCAGGCCAAGGGAGGGGCAGCGGGCAGCTGCACAATCTTGGTGCCAGCCAAGCCCACCAGCACCGCAGTCCCACCCTGCACTGGGGTCAAGCCCCAGGCCTGTGCTGCCTGCCTGGTGGTCCTCCTCACTCCTCCTGGCTCCGGCCTTGTTGCATCTCTGTCATGGCCATCGTCACTGGGATGTGCCAGGTGTCCCTAGGTCTGGGCCAGGCCTGGCCTTTTAGCACTCCATACTGCCACGGGACCAGTCCCCAGCTCCTTGGCACTCCTCACGGCCCACACAAGCCTTGCCCATCCTCTGGCCCCTGATGCCATGGGCCTGGCTCCAGGCACAGAGTAAGCAGACCCAGGCTCCCACCCACAGCCGTGAGCAAGAAGACTGGCCTACTGATCACACTGAGGTTGTCAGCCTGGCTTTTGAACATGACATTGGAATTTTTTTTAAAAATTTTACTTATATTTCATTTGAAAGGCTGGCTTTGGCAGAGAGGAAGAGAGAGATCTTGCATGTGCTGGCTTAACTCCCCAAATGGCTGCAACAGCCAGAGCTGAGCTGATCCGAAGCCAGGAATCAGGAGCCTCCCCTGGGTCTCCCACGGGGGTGCAGGGCCCAAGCACCCTGCTGCTTTCCCAGGCTGCAGGCAGAGAGCTGGACGGAAAGTGGGGCAGCCAGGGCACAAGTGGTGCTGCTTGATTCTGGAGCGGTTTCTACAGGGGGACCCAATGGTGAACCCACACTGACCACACTGGGTGCTGCTATTTGAGCCTCCACACACGTTATTCCTGTCCCCACTGCCCATCCACCCAGCCCCCCTCCACTGCCCAAATCCAGGTGTCCTTCCCTGTGGACACTGCTCCTACTTCCCCATCCACTCAGCGTCCACGGGCTGCACAGGACCCTCTACCACAGTCTCCGAGGCCTAGCAGGCCCCTCCCCCTCCCCTGTCCTGTGGGCAGCAGGGAGCTGGGTACCTGGAAAGCTTCACGAAGGTTCTACAACTGACCAGAGAACCGCTGCTCTTAATGGCTTCGTATCAACTCAAGAGGGATAGCCAGAAAACACTCATCTTTGCCATAAAAAATGTAAATATGCATCAGGCTCCCATTCCTTCCTGCAAATGGTGGGAGAAAGCCAGGACGCGCTGCCTCACCCGCAAGCGGGACGAGGGACCGCGGACCCACCTGGATCAGAGCCAGCACCTTGTCCTGCACGATGGTGGGAGGGTTGTTTTTGGGAGAGATGATCTTAACCAGCACACTGTCGACGAAATCCCGGTTGGCCACAAGGATGTGGAAGCGGTGGCCGCAGTTCTTCACACAGGTCTCCAGCACCTGACGTGGGGAGGGAAGGCCAGGAGTTACCACCTCGGGAACTCAGCGCAGGGGACTGGGGGGCGTGGTTGACGGCCCTGCCAGCTCTGGTGTCACCTTGCTGTCCCCATTGAGAGGCCCCACCACGTTCCCATACTCACTCCCTCTGGGGATGGGGGACAGGGCATGCCCCAGCTGACAGAGGACAGGTCAGCCTGTCCCCCGTAAGAATCAGCTGGTCATTCAGGAACCAGCTTTGCGTAAAAGGCCTCTAATGTTGTAATGGGCTCAAAACCCAAGCAGTCCTTGAAAACTGGCATTTGAACACCTTTCTCTGGGTGTCTGGGTGTGAGGCGTTGGCCAATAGGACGGGGCTGTCAGGAGAGGAGGCTGCTGTGATGGCTACAACTGCCGGGTGAGTTACATGAGGTGGCAAACACACACACCGAAGCACATACGAATGTGGGAACACATACATGCACTCCCAGACATGCATGTCCACACGGGGGCACACACACACACAGTGCATACACTCGCATATCCACAAATACACAGGCACAAACGTGCACACAAACACACACAGAGTGCATGCACAGACACCCACATGCACACACTGGCAATCCCGCCTCAACAACTCAGAGGTAACATCAAAGGAACATCCACCCTTGACAAATGGCTGTAGCTTCGGCTGCGAGTCAGCTCTGGGGTCTACGTCAACCGACCACGCCTGAAGAAGACAGGCTTCGGTGTTTCCCCACCTGCTCCTTGCACAGACCCGGGAAGATGGGTGTTAGCCCATTTCTGAGGTGAGCAAGCCGAGGCATCAGACGCTAGGAGACTTAACCCAGGAGGCCTGAGCTCTGCGACCAGCCAGAATTCCCCCTTTCCCTGCCACCGCTGCCCCCCACCACCTCGGAGACCCCCTGGGTTCTGTGAGACCCTGAGACTTGGCAGCCTAGCAGGTTGTGCCCTTCACCCAGCCAACAACAGTCTTCTTCCTTGCTCTCTGCTCTGCTGGGCACCCACAAAGTGCCCAGCGTCCACTCCCTCAGGGACCCTTACGATGAGCCCAAGGGGTTCTTCCCGCCCTCAGGGGCTCGTGGCACCCCTCTCCCAAAATTCTCCTTCCACTGCAAGCAAAGGAGGCTGGCAGGTCAAGCAGGGTGGCCTGCCTGGAGCCCTAGGCTCCAGGGAAGGGCAGGATCGTAGGAGGCAGAGGCCTGCACAGAGACGGGGAGACTGAGGTGCGAGCCCCTCCCCCGGGGTGCTGGGAGCAGGCTCTGAGGTGGGCCTCACCTGGCCCGGGGAATGCCCTGGGCAGAGGTGTACCTGCTGCAGGAAATGCTCCTGGGCAGGCTACCTGGTCTCACCCAGCCTAAGAGGCTCCTGGCACATCCCCCCCCCAGGGGGTGTAGGGCCTGGAACACACAGTGGCAATCTTCCAAAACACAGCCGACACCCACAGGGCAAGCAAAGGGGAGCCTCAAAGCAGCTGGAAATGGGAGGGCGTTCAAATGGAGTTTGCAGGGAAGTCAAACACAACAGCCTTTAGTGTAAAGATGTCCTGACGTCCACCCTCTTTTTTAAAAAATGAATCTGTAAGGGTTATTTATTGGCAAGGCGGAGTTACACAGAGGGGGTGGGGGAGAGAGATCTTCCATCCACTGGGTCACTCCCCAAATGGCAGAAATGGCTGGGCAAGGCAGAAGCCAAGAGCCAGGAGCCTCCCCTGGGTCTCCCACATGGGGGCTGGGGCCCAAGCACGTGGGCCATGTTCCATTCTCTCCCAGGCTATCTATCAGCAGGGAGCTGGATGGGAAGTGGAGCCGTGGGGACTAGAGCCAGTGTCCATATGGGATGCCAGCATCACAGGCAGTAGTCTTGTTTTGCATGACACATTTTCTGTGAATTCTCTGAAAATTTTTCACAGGCGCTCCAAGCCGGAAGCCCCGTGGGAACACCTCCTATTTTGAATAGCCATCAGCAATCTGGGCACAGAGGGGACAACAGGGAATGGGGAGCCTGCAGGGCCATCATCAAAGACCCAGGGCCGTGCAGGTCTGGTCTGGTGGAGGGTCAGCAGTTCCCGGATAGTCAGCGTGCTGTCAGGTGCGGGGCAAGGGAGACGCTGCGCCTACAGCAACCCAGAACGATCCCTGTGGGGACCCACTCTGGTTTCTGTGAATGCTAAGGCTCAAGTTCTGGGAATGAAACAAAAGCTTTCTTTTTTTCTCTGTTTCTCAACTGCTCCTTCCTTTTTTTAATTATCCAAATTCCAATCTCCTGGCAGAAGAGAACTCTCTCGGTAAGTAAGTCCTGAAGGCTTAAAAAAAAAAAATCCAAACCATTTCTGTGCTTTCAAGAGGAATGTTCGGTGGCTCTTTGGGGGATAAAAAACCCACCAGCGGCAAACCAGCTGAGATCCACGGGCCCACCCGCCATCATGCTGTGGCTCAGATCCTGCCCTCCAGGCACAGGGGGCGCCTGAAGGCAGTGTCGCCCACTCCAACAACTCAAGGAACCGCCAACTCCTGCCTGTGCCTCCTGTGTTCTTCAAGGACAAGGCAAGGCCACTGCTTTGATGACAGTCCCCACAGCTCGGAGTGCTGGCTGTGAGACCTGCGTCTGTCTCCCTCCCCCGTCTCCCAGGAGCCTGACTTGGGAAGGCAGTGGCGGTCCAGGGCTGCGATGGCAGTGGGCATGAAGGAGGCTGACAGCGCAGAGGATGATACCCAGCCTTCAGGGCCCTCTGCCCTGGGTATCCCAGTGCTGCTGCCCACACCGCACCTCCTGGGAGGCAGTGTCTTGGCCACCCCCACCCAGAGGGCTGGGAGAGCTGCACTCACTGTCAATGCCAGCATCACTTCTCTGTAGTTCCGGTTCCCGTTGAGCCGCTTCTTCAGGGCACGAATGGCATCCCTCGGCCTGTGGAAAAGGGCGGAGGCAGTAAGAACCCTGTGGACCCCACTCTCCCTCGGGCTTCATTCCCCATGCACATGTGCTGCACCAACAGATATAGCTCTTCACCCACCATGAGACACACGATGCACTGCAAAAAGGGGAAAAAAAAAAAAGGAAAGAAAGGAAGAAAGTCTCTGTGGACTCATATGGATCAAAGTTAAAAAAGATGAGTGCAGAGTGCAGGGAGCCATTTGCAGCAGGGTGCCAAAGGCGTGCTATCAAAGGGCCACTGCAGACACATGTCTGCAGGGGAGAGAGTGGAAGAACCTGGTTCCTGCGGCTGTCCCTGAGCAGGAGCTGTGAGGGGCGGTTCAGAGACCGAGACCCTGCCATCCTGGACCCGGTGCCACGTCCTCCTCCTCACAGCTCAAGAAACGCACAGGTCCAGCCGTCCACCAATCACATGTTAACTTCCTGGGATCTTACCTGAGAATCCCACCCCTCAATATTCGTCGCCCCTTCCCCAACCCCTGCCCACTTACCAGTCACCGTCAGGCAATCACCTGTGACAGTCTGGCACCAGTCCCCTGGGGCCTGTCTTCAGTCCTTCACAACCCCCCCCAAACACCTTGTGGGCTCATCTGAATGGCATAAAGGGGTCCCCAGGTGCGCTCCCCCCTTCCGTTCGCTCTCCCACCAACCCTGTCCTGATATCTGGCGTTTTTGGCTTAAGGTGGAAAGGACTTGGCTGCAAGAATTAGCTGTGCTTAAGAACTTTAAGTGCGTCTAAAACCCAACAGGGGCACTGCGTGGGGGTGAGCAGAGGTTTTCTCCCACCCTGTCGTTTCACAGACCTTCTAAATCGTCTGTTACTGGCAGCACTGTCGGTTCCCAGTGGTGACCAGCCCGCTGGTGTCCATGGCTGCTCCGGGGAGAGGCAGAGAGGACAAAGGTGCTGGCTTGGGCCCGGAGGTCAGTTCTGAAGTCCCAGACCTGCTGCTCTGAAGGGCCCTACACAACTGTGCTCGGGCAGCCCAGGCCACAGCATGGTAGCCCTCTGCCAGCCTCCTGCTAACCCACGTGGCAATACATCCGGTACTTTCCCAGGAAAGACACGGCTGGCCGCAATGATTCTGGGAGACACTTCTGAAACTCCCTGGGTGGCCTGTTGGTGCCTCTTAACCTGGACTGGATCTGTCCTGAGGAAACTCTCAGCTCCTGGGCCAGCAGCTGGCCAGACAGCAGAGGCTCGGGCAGACAGAAGAGGTTTGCCAGGAGTGGTTCGGGTGGTGGGTGAGTTTGCATGTGGCTGCAGTTGCGAGGGACTGTGGGTCTTGTGGGAGCTGGCTTGTGGCACCTGCTGGATTGTTTCCCCTGCAAGCTAGACCACGCTACAGCTCTCCCTGACGCCCTGAGGTCGCCATCGCATCCTCAGGAACATTCAGCATGGTTGAGATCATGGGCTGGCCGGGGTGGTGGTGGTGGTGGTGGTGGTGGTGGTGTGTGTGTGTGTGTGTGTGTGTATGTGTGTGCGCGCGCAGCACAGGTGCCCCCCTTGGGTGGGGGTGGGGGTGGGCTGGGGCAGCATCCGTTGAGAAGGAGCAGATACATCTGCGGTGGGCTGTGGGAGGCACTGACAGACTGGGCGAGTGAGGATCCTCCCTGGCTCCCCTGCAGGGAGAAGCTTCAGAGAGCAGGATCAAAGTCCCATCAGAGGAACTGCCAAGTTTCCCAGCAGCTTCACAGAAGAGACCGCAGTGCTATGGCAGGAAGTTGGAAACTCCTCCAGGAGGAGGGCGAGTGGCCCCAGGCAGACAGGATGGGGCGAAACCCCTCTGCCTTTCTCTGAGAGGCCAGGCCCCAAAGCAGTTCCCAGTGGGCCCCCTCCAGCCTCCTCCCTCCCCCTGACATCAAACAGGAACTGGAGGTCCGCACTGGCCGTGACAATGACCCAGGGCAGTGGGCAGTGGGTCCAGGTCAGAGCGACCTATCAAATCCACTGAGAGAGTGATTCCAGCCCCACACACTGTCAGGCAGGCCCGAGTGGGGCACGTGCGCCCTCATCAGGCGGACCAGGGGAAAGCAGAGTCCTCCTACGTTCCCAGGTGGGTTATTTACCCAGGCAATCTAGGCCAGGGAGCACAGATCCGGTCTGCGTAGAGGGTCTTGGGTGTCAGCGCCTGTCCGGCTGGGGTGTCCTCGCCCCTGGACATGAGGGCAAGCTCCAGGGGAGAGGGCGGTGGAAGGAGAGGGACTGACGTCCTGCACCAGTGCTCCGTGCGGCCGTCGGCCACGGGATCCACCCTCTCTTGGTTGTCTTTTTTCACACTAAGAAGGGGACGGGGGGGAGGGTGTCTGGCCTCTTGGTTAGTTCACCAGTTAGGACGCTCGCACCCACATGGGGATGCCAAGCTGAGTTGGGAACATCTGGATACCTGTCACTCCTCACCCCACAGAGGAGATATGCATGCAGTTCCTACTGCCTAGCTTTGGCCCCGCCTCCCCTGCCCTTCCTCAGGGCCACTGGGAGCACTGGGAGCAAGCCAGCAGGTGGGAGCTCATACTCTCTCAACTTAAAAAAAAAAAAATTACCTGTTCCTTATCTTCTGGGGCTGCTGCGGTGGGGTGAGGGGGGAGGGGTGGGGTGGGGTGTGAGCTGTCTGCGATGATGTAGTGTGGAATGATGACGCTACAGACCCAGCCACATCAGACTCTGAAACATAGAGACCTGCCTCCTCTCTGGGCTTCTCGCCTCCAGGCACCCCACGGCCAAGACCCAGCTGCACGGCTGTGAGGTAACCCAGGGCCCCCCGAAACGGGACAGGCCTGTGATATACCTCCTGAAGCTGCCCTGTATCCACATACCCAAGGGATGAGCGCCCCTCGCAGCTAGGACCTTGGCAGTTTCGGATCTAAATGTAGGGCAAGCCAAAGGATGGGGCCCTGCCTGCAGTGTCTTCCCTCCCAGGAGGGAGGCCTCGCTTGGTCCCCTTGGCCTCCTGTGTGTAACAGGTGAGGGACAGTGAACCCCACCCAGAACGAGACTGGTCTAAAGACAGGCCAGCTGTGGTAATGCAACAAGATGGAAGAATCCACCATGGGGGCGGGGAAGCAGATTTGGGAGGGGAGAGGGGAATCCCAGTGCCTGTAAAACTGTGTCGCATGATGCAATGTAATAAAAAGAAGTAAATAAATAAAGACAAAAAAAATAAAATAAAATAAATGCTTATGGTCCCCCAAATGGCACAGGAAACTATATGATTACTTTAGGAATAAACTATTCCCATGGTATGACAAAAAATAAATAAATAAAGACAGGCCAGATAGTTCACCACACAGTTAGAGTGATTGGCCATGGACAAAAAGCTGGTTCCCCCGCCTGGTGTGGGGGTGGAGACACACAGCCAGGGGCGCCGTGGGTGTCTTACTCCCTGGATTCCAGCTCTGGCACCTGCAACCCAGGGGGCTGAAGCTACTCACCATGCCCGGGTGGATGGCTCCAAGCACCAGGACAGCCTGTGTCCCAGGCACCTGCTGCACACTGCCCTCCAGCCCAGGGCTGTCCACCTGCTCCAGCATCATCTCCGAGCAGCTGATGTCTGCGGGGCACCTCGGCACAGGTCTCTGATCCCCATCATGCTCGGAGGATCTTGGCACCTTTGTTCCACTTACTAAACCGGTATTTTTCCAGAGCCAATTATGGACAATAACATGCCAGGCAAGTGCCGCACGGACTCCTGGCCTGAAGCTTCTCACAGTCTACTGGATGGTGGGGGTGGGACAAGTCAGACACCATGTACCAGCCTGCACCATGGTGGCACACTTCAGTAAGGCAGAGCGGTAGGGAGCCACGGGACAGGGCGTGCCCAAGAGTGAGTGGGGAGTTCTCCCGACAGCCTGGTCCCCCTGGGCTTTCCCTCCCACTTACGAAGGGTCCTCTCAGAGCAGAAGAACAGAAAAATCACCAGGAATCACTGAGGTACTCTCCCTGAAACACCCAGGACAGGCTAAACCTCCACCTGTGGCACTGACATCCCATATAGACACCAGTTTGAGTCCTAGCTGTCCCACTTCCCGTCCAAGCTCCCTGCTAATGTGCCTGGGAGGGCAACAGAATATTTCCTGTACCCCTGTGGGAGACCCAAAGGAAGTTCCTGGCTTCAGATGTGCCCAGCTCTAGCCACTGCAGCCATTTGGGGAGTGAACCGATGGATGAGAGGTCTGTGTGCGTGTCTCCTCTGGAGAACGAGCAGACCCAGAGAGCCTGGGCTTCCTGGCCTTGAGTCTTCTAGATATTTGCTCTTCCAGAAACCCAGCAACAATGCTGGCCCTTCTCAAAGCTACCCTGACCGGCTGCTGGATGGGTGCTTCTCTAGCTCCCAGGCTGTTAGCCCAGCCCAAAGCTGGCCAGCTTGGCCTCAGGCACAGGTCCGTGTCCGATGCCGCAGGGGAGCCTTCGATCACCCTGGCATCCTTGAGCTCCCCTACCCCATCCCCTCTGGGGCTGAGTCACTACGGTGGGTGCTGGGCGACTGGGCATGCAGGGAAGAGACATGCCAAGTTGGGGGTTGTAAGGATAAAGGCTGATCTGAGCCCCATGACTGCAACGTTAGGGCCAGGGTCCCCACAGCTGTCAGAGGCCAGGTAACCAAGCAGTGTCCTCTTCCACCTGGGAGAGGGGAAGGGAGCATCAGAGTGGCAGGCATTAAGGGGTGGCAGGTTAGGCTGCTGCCTGAGACCCCCACATCTGGTGCTTGGGACTGAGTCCCGCTTCCACCTCCCACCTAGCACCTTGGTGACTAGCACCCTGGGAGATGACCACTCGCTATGGGAGGCAGCAGGTGATGCTGGCTCAAGGACTTGGGTCCCACCCACATGGGAGACCCAGGTGCAGTTCCACGCTCCTGGCTCCAGCCTGCCCCAGCCCTGGCTGTTGGCAGGTACCTAGGAAACAAACCAGTGGATGGAAGAGTCCCCACCCTCCTATCTCTAGCTCTAGCTCTGCTTTTTAAAATAAAACTAAGTTTAGGGCCCGGCGCGGTGGTGCAAGTGGTTAAGGTCCTCGCTTTGCACGCCCGGGATCCCATATGGGCGCCGGTTCTAATCCCGGCAGCCCCGCTTCCCTTCCAGCTCCCTGCTTGTGGCCTGGGAAAGCAGTCGAGGACGGCCCAAAGCTTTGGGACCCTGCACCCGCGTGGGAGACCCGGAAGAGGCTCCTGGCTTCGGATCGGCATAGCATCGACCGTTGCGCTCACTTGGGGAGTGAATCATCGGACGGAAGATCTTCCTCTCTGTCTCTCCTCTCTGTATATCCGCCTTTCCAATGAAAAAAGAATAAAAATAAATCTTAAAAAAAAAAACTAAGTTTAAAAAAAAAAGTAAAGTAAAAGATAATGTTAAAAAAGTTAAAACAGTGTCAGCTACTTCAATGCCAAAGTTGACAAAGTTAAAGCACGACAGCCTATCTGTAGGCAGCAGCCCAGCTTGCACTGCACCCTGGCACCTGGGGAGCGGGGGGCGGAGCACCCACCACACCACTGTGGGTGCAGGCTGGCTGGGACTGCGTCACAGCCATCACCACACCACATGTGCATGGTGGAATCCATGCACTGCCTGGAGCCAGGGGGCGGGGGGGGGGGTGAGTTAAATGAGGGCCACTGAGGGCTTGTTAGACATGTATGAAGTAATTTCTCAGGGCTTCCACGGAATGAGCTACTGCACCTGCAAGTAACTGAGGGAGCAGAGACTGGCCGTGGGTGGAGGGGTTAGAACGAGGATTCCAAGGGCCTCCCTGGGTCAGGCCAAACTACCTGCCCACCTGTACGAGAGCCAGGGCTGGGAACAGACAGGGTCAGGATAGATCCCTGTACCCTCAGGCTAATGAGAAAGCCATGCTGGGGGAAGGACATCTCTAAGGGTTATTTGGGGCTGCAGCACTGGCCAGTACACAAACAGCTGGGGCAGGGGGCAGGCCAGGCCAGGCCAGGCCAAGCCAGGCTGTATAGCACCTGCTGATGAGAGCTGGGACTGGGAACAGAACAAGCTATAGTCCCTGCTGATGAGAGCTGGGGCTGGGGACAGGCCAGGCTGGGTTATGCTGCAGCACCTGCCAGTATGTGTTGGAGCAGGGAGCAGGGAGCAAGTCATCCAGGCTGGGCTGCTGCTGCTACCAACACACAGGAGAGCCAAGCTGGGAGTCGCTGCAGTACCCACCAGTGCATGTGAGAACAGGTCTGGGGATACCCCGAGAGGACACGGTACCCACTGGTGCACATGAGAGCCAGGCATGGGGGTGGGCTTGCTTGGCTAGGCTACGACACACAATGTTTCCTATGAGTGCCAGAGATAGGACTGACCAGGCAGCTGCATACATTGGCTGGTGCAGGGAGCAGACTGAACCTGACCCTGCACCAGCCGGCACACATGAGAACAAGTCCTGAGGACTCCCCCAAGTGAGGTTTCTTAGGGGGACCCCCAACTACACGGGCTGCACTACATCCCTGACCTCAGGGAGAATCACGCAGACACGCGCTCTGATCCTGGAGCACTTGTTACAACACCGGGCCACCTCAGCTGTTGATCCTCATTCAGGAACGCCGAGCTTACCCGGATGAACACGGAAGACAAGAGCACCAGCTCACCTGAGCCAACAGCACACTTCAAGTACCTCACCCAGAGATGCAAAGCAGGACAGTGTGAACAACACTCCAGGCCAGGCTCTAGGGCAGGCACCTACATCTGTGGGCACACGAGGCAGAGGAGGCCGGCCCACAAGGCATCAGGAAGGAATCCTCAACTCTGGTGTGACAAAGCCTGCAGATTTCACAGCAGTCAAGGCCACTAACAGCCTTGGAACTCTTCCCCCACCCTGGGGTCTCAAAGGTGACATCAAATGGCCATCTTTGTCCTGTGTACTGATGCAACGCGACAGCGAGGAGGGATACATATTCTCCTCCCTTCCCCCTGACTGTGGACACAGGACGGAAGACTAAAACATTCATATGACCCATCCTCCTCCCCACGCCTACACCCTCCATTCCAATTGGAGGTCCACATGGATCTGTAACCCTCTCACCTTTGTAATAAATACTAAAACAAAATTCAAATTTAAAAAAAAAGAAGAGGAGAGAACAAATTGAAAGGTCCAGAGTATGCTACATAATGTGAGAGATCCAGTAAAAGAAACTGTAGCTAAAAAATGAAACAAAGGGCCTAGCGGCTAAAGTCCTCCCCTTGAATGCACCAGGATCCCATATGGGCGCTGGTTCTAATCCTGGCAGCTCCACTTCCCATCCAGCTCTCTGCTTATGGCCTGGGAAAGCAGTCGAGGACGGCCCAAAGCTTTGGGACCCTGCACCTGTGTGGGAGACCCAGAAGAAGTTCCTGGATCCTGGCTTCGGATCGGCATAACATCGGCCGTAGCGCTCACTTGGGGAGTGAATCATCGGACGGAAGATCTTCCTCTCTGTCTCTCCTCCTGTCTGTATATCTGACTTTGCAATAAAAATAAATAAATCTTTAAAAAAAAAAAGAAACAAACAAACACATACAACAAAAAACGTCAAGCTTGTCCCCATGGGCCCCGGCAGGTTTTGAGTGGCCCCTGGGGCTGAGAAGGCCCTCGGCCTGAGTGACACACGTACCCTTCCTCTGTCTCATTGATGATGTCACAGATCTCCATGTTCAACGTCCAGTCCTCGCTTGGCAGGGAGCCGTCTGTGGCCTTCTCTGTGAAATCAGAAAGAAAATGAGTTTAACATTCACTTCAGATGCAGGGGCCGCTGGTATGAAATGGAAAGAAAAGCAGACTCGCTCCAGTTGTCCTCCCGAGCAGACGAACGGAGCCAGCCAGGGTAGGCTGGGAACTGGGGCTACTGGCACCAGAGAACACTGGGCACAGATCTGGCCCGAGGGCTTGACGTCACCAATTCTTTCAGTTACACTGCCTGGCTCAAATACAACCGGTCTACCGCTTTATAGTTTTGCATGCCCCTCGGGCACATGGCTTGTGCTCTAGCTGTCAAACCCAGAGAGAACCAGAGCGTCTGGCACACAGACTACTCACGAAAATCATGCAAAAACACCCACATGACAGCCTGGCATGTGTGTGTGCACACGCGCGCGCACACACACACACACACACACACACACACTGAGCGAGGTGTTTGTTGTTAGCATTACTTCAGAATCCAATGCATTGATTAAAAGCTACATCTCTGGAAAGGAGAGGGGAGAAGGGACCATCGCTTAATGCAACCACTTTGAGCTCAGTGTTGGTTGCTTTGTGTACGTTGTTTTCTATCAGGTACAAAACAACCTTCAGGCCACACACTGGGGGAAGGGGCAATCTCCCTGAACAACGGTGCTGGGAGAAGTGCATCCCATGTGTGGAAAAAGAGTGGTGAGTGGTGGGGCCTTCTCTTGCGCCAGATTAAAAAACGAGCTCCAAGATGTAAACCTTCAGGTCCAGTGCAGTAGCTTAGCAGCTAAAGTGCTTGCCTTGAACACGCCAGGATTCCACATGGGCGCTGGTTCTAATCCCGGCAGCCCCGCTTCCCATCCAGCTCCCTGCTTGTGGCCTGGGAAAGCAGTCGAGGACGGCCCATAGCCTAGGGACCCTGCACACGTGTGGGAGACCTGGGAGAGGCTTCGGATCAGCTCAGCTCTGGCTGTTGTGGCCACTTGGGGAGTGAATCCTCAGATGGAAGATCTTCCTCTCTGTCTCGCCTCCTCTCTGTATATCTGCCTTTCCAATAAATATATCTAAACCAAAAAAGATATAAATCTTCAAGAGTGACAGCTCTAAAACTCTCAGAAAATACAGAGGGAAAGGTTCCTGGTGTCGCCTTTGGCAACAAAGGCATAGGCAATAAAAAGAAAAATATAGACAGAGATCTTGAGCGTTTCTGCACTGAACTCATTTGTGCATCGAAGGTCACTGGCAACAGAGTGAGGCAACGGATGGCAAGGCAGGCGATGTCCGCCCCTCCGTTCTGCGACACAAGGCAGATACCCAGCTCACGGAGAAATGACAACAGCAAGCGTGCCCAACCGAGCCATGGGGACGGACAGGTGCTGGGCTGCGCAGCTGGGCAGCAAGATCTGACCCCCACCCCTAGCATCCTGCCAGTGCGGATCCAGAGGGCACGGCGGTGAAGATGCAAGCAGCCATGACTCCCTGCCACCCACTTGGTGGCACCCACCCAGACTGAATTCCTGGCTCCCAGCTTCAACAGCAATCCCAGCCAGGTGCCAGCGTGGGCATTTAGGAAAGCGAACCAGCAGATTAAAATTAATCTCTCTCCCTCTAGTGAACAGATACTTTTCAAATGAATAAATAAAATTTCCTCCAGCTGCAGGCAACTGTCTCGGTTGTCTTGTACTTAGGCAAGTGTTACACTGCTGGGAGAAAAGCAGCCAGGAGCTGGCGGGCATTCTGGGCCTAGTGAATGCCAACTCTGTATTAACTACACCAGTGTACCAGCACAGCTCTCTATGTTATTTTTTTTTTTTTCAGATGTATGGGGAACTCTGCCATCGCAGGCAGGGGACCCCAGGTGAGGACATGCTGCCCTGGCCCCCAGGCATTGGACACTCCTGTGCAGACGGACAGCAGCAGGAGGACATCTGCAGACGGCCTGGGGAAGGGGGTGTGGGGATATGTTGGGGTGAGGGCTGCTGATGGCATGACTGACAGGGCAGGAGTGACTTCCGGGGGTTCCCATGGGCCAGGCCTGTGCTCTTGCAGGGATGTGTGGGAGCTGAGACTGGGTGGTTCAGAGGGGAGAAATCACAAAGGCAGAAGGGGGGAGGGAGGGAACGAGGGAGGGAGGGAAGGTCAGGTGCGAGTGTGGATGAGGATGCAATGCAACCTCTGTCCTAACAGGTGGGACAGTACCTAGCGCAGCCGTCATGATGGAACCTCCACACCTCAGCCAAACACGGCACTGTTCCTAGAGCCAAGACATGGGATCAACCTCAGTGCCTACAACAGAGTGAACAGAGAAAGAAAAAGGAGGCCTGCACACACATGCGAGTAGTATTTGGTCATGAAAAAGAGGGCGCTCTTGACATTTGTAGCAAAATATATTTGTTTACTTGAAAGACAGAATTAGAAGGAGAGACAGATCTTCTATTCTGTCTTTCAAGTAAACAAATATATTTTTAAAATATTCCATCCTCACTTTTTTTTTAAGAAGAGCAGAACGACAGAGGGTGACTCCATTTTTGTAGTTTCTCAGGAGGATGGCACTCGGAGGGGAATGGGGCGGGAGGTAGAAACGTGGCTGCGGGGACACGGGAAGCTGGCGCTGGACAGGCACAGCCACAGCTCCAGAAAATGAAAAGTTTCGAGATGGACAGCGATGGCTGCTCCTTAGCTGAGCAAGTGCACTTAGCGTCACCGAGCCATACACTGAAAAACAGCTAAGACGCTGGTCTATGGTTACCTAATGTTTACTGTAAGAAACAGAAAACCACGGAAAGGAATAGAGAAGGTATGTGTTAGACTAATGGGCAGCTGGGCTTGTGGAGAACAGGCAGAGGCAGACAGGACGCCCAAGGAGAGGACGGATCATCCATGGCCATCAAGCACCGGGCTGCAACTAGCACCTCCGGGCTGTGAGCTCGGGGCCAGGTCTCTTGCCCTTCATGTGTGTCAGATAAATGACTGTGCCAGCATCCCCAGCCTGGTCAGCACGACCTGGGGCGCTGGGAAACGCACTCTCCCCTGAGCCTCCATCCCTGACATTCTGATGCTAAGAGCCTGGGGTGGGAGGGGCTGGCACAATGGCATGGGAGGCTAAATCCCTGTCTGTGGCACAATTTTGTGGCCCAGCTTCTTCATTTCCCAACTAGCTCCCTGCTAATGTGTCTGGGACAGCAGCGGAGGATGGTCCAAAGCCTTGGGACCCTGCACCCACTGGGAAATTTGGAAGAAGCTCCTGATTCAGACCACAGGTCTGTGTGATTTTCCCTGAAGCCAGGGATGTAGTCAGGCGGTCTAGTTGGGGAGCCTGCTAACAAACCTCACTTGGAAGGCCCTCAGGCCTTGCAAGGACAGGCTCAGTCTACCCCCTGCACCAGCCAATGCATGTATTAGTGGATGCAGCTGCGCGGTCAGTTCTACATACACAGTACCGTGGCTCTTACGTGCACCAGTGGGTACCGTGGCCTAGCAGGGGTATCCCCAAGAACCCCCTACTAAGCCCAGCCCCAGACCTCACAATCACATGCACCCATGGGTGCTGCAGCCCAGCCTGGCCTGCTCCCAGTACTGGTTCTTTCATACATCGGCGGGTGCTGTGGCCTAGCAGGGACGTCCCCAAAGATCCCTTTACCAAGCCCACTCTCAGCTCTGGTTCTTGTGTGTGCTGTGGCCCAGCCTACCCCAACACTCACCAGCAGGTGCTGTGGGCCTAGTCAGGGCCCCTAGAACCTTCCCAAAGAGCCCCTTTAGACTTTCGCCCACAGCAGGCTCTTGTACACAGAGGTAGGTGTTTTGGCCTGAGTCAGGAGGCTCCTCTGGACTCCCCCTCTCATCCCTGCTCCCTCGATTGCCTGCAGGTGCACTGACCCAGTCTGTGGAAGGCCCCAGAGGTCATAATCATTTTACACATGCCAAACAAACCCTCAGTGTTCCCCATTCTAACCTGTTCCCAGTCCTCAGATGCTAGTCCCCTGCCCCCGCCACGCTCATGGTGGTCAGGACAATGGAGTGGTCCCAGCTGGCCTGCACCTGCAGTGGCACAGCCGGTGCCCCGCCCCTTCTCCTCAGATCTTTATTTATTTACTTACTATTATTTACTTTTGGAAAATGTTTTTTACTTTTACTTTCTTTTAAAATTTTACTTCTTTTTATTATTAGCATTTTATGATACAGTTCCATAGGCCCTGGGATTTCCCCTCCCCCCAAGTGCCCTCCGTCCCCACCGAGTTCCCCTATATTATTACTACAGTATAGTTCTTCATAAACAATCATATGTCCATCATTGCGGGCATGGACAATGGCAGAGGGACCAGCATCCTATTGTCAAGATATAGTTAACAGTTTCATTGCGAGTCCATCTTTGATCTGGAAGTAGAAATGCATACTGCATTGTATCATCATATCTGGATATGACAGTCTCCATTACAGCTACAATACAAAACCAACAATAGGAAAAAAAATAGAAATTTACAACACCATGAAGTTAAACAACACGCTACTGGATATGATAATCTCCATTACACAGTTACTGTACCTTTTCTTAAATGAGAAGCCAAAAACCAAAATCAACAACAGGAAGAAAAAAAGAAATTAAAAACACCATGAAGTTAAATAACACGCTACTGAATGAGACTAATGTGTCACTGAAGAAATAAAAAAGAAAATCAAGAATCTTCTTGAAGAAAATGATGCTACTGTGTGATCTGTGAGTCAGTGAAGAATTTAATGAGAAAGTATTTTGAAGAGATGAAACCTCAGATCTTTAAAAAGAGATAAACAGGCAGCTATGCTGGCACATCAGTGTAGTTAGCACAGTTTGTGTTTACCAGGCCCAGAATGCCCGCCAGCTCCTGGCTGCTTTTCTCCCAGCAGTGTACCACTTGCCTAGGTACAAAGCAACCTAGGCAGTTGCCTGCAGCTGGGATTCATTTTATATTTATTTTTTTTAAGATTTGCATATTTTAGTTGAAAGAATTACATATAGAGATGGGGGAGAGACAGAGATCTTTGATCTGCTGGT